TGATGAGGCTGCTGCTGCTGCTGCTGCTGCCGCTGATGCTGCTGCTGCTGCTGCTGCTGCTGGTGGTGCTGGTGGTGCTGCTTCACAATAATCCATTAAAACTAACTTTAATTTACCAGGAGGGAAGAAAAGGTCAGGAGAGTTTTTGGTACAAACAGCTGCAGATGTTGGAAAATGTGAAGAAAGAAAAGAAGATTAGTTTCCATCTGAGTCACTGATCAAATAAATAGATGACGTTTTTTTTATTTTTTATTTTTTTAAAACAAGGAGACGACCAAACTTGGACATTTTTACTTTTTAATTACACAAGAATAAAATCTATTTTCTAAACTGTATATATTTTTTAGACATTCGAGTGTGAAAAACAAAAATAAAACTCTGTCTCATGCTTTGTGCAAAATGTTCCTTCTAAGAAACAAAGTGTGTTTGGTTTAAGTGCTGTTTGAAATCCTTCATATTTCTGAGACTCGGTTCGTTGATTTTCATGACTGAGTCTAAAAAAAACAACAACATTAACATTTTAATTATTACAAAAAAAATATTAACTTAAATAAATCGAATGAAACACTCGGTGAGACTGTCTCTGTCGAAGCCTCTGCTGGTTCACTCTCCTGTTATAAAGCCCTGACACATCGTTACTGCCAACTACTGGTAAACATTGGCTCTACATCAGAAATGAACCGAGCCTCTGGGTTTCGAACAGAGACACATTTTAAAACATCCGGATTTAGGTTTGTATGAAATAAAGCAAAAATAATAATAATATTTTTTGACTGATATTGTATGAAATAAAGCAAAAATAATAATGAGAAAATAAGAATATTTTTTGACTGATTTCAAAAGATCCAGTCGACAGAGCAGTTTTTTTGTTGTTTTTCTTTTCTTTTCTTTTCTTTTTTTGCTCCAGTCATTAAAATCTCTAGGACCTCCTTCAGTTTGGACCTTTGTCCATTTCCTACCGGCAGTCTTCGCTGATGACTGCATCAGCTGAGACTTCAGTCTTCAGTCTGGTCAAGACCTTGTTGTGATCTTCACCTGTTGATCAGACTGTTCTCTGATCAGTTTCCTGTGTGATGACGTCGTAGCCGTTGTTCCGTGGTCAGTTCTCTCTTTCCAGGTTCAGAGCTCGTCTGTGGGCTTCGTTCAGGACCACGTCGGTGGTGGTGTTGTCATAAATGCCGCTGTCGACCAACGCAAACCCTGGGGAGGAGAGAAAGAAAAACAGGGTTGGTCTGTGACGAGTCTGATCATCGACGGCGATGGAGGATTGGAGATTAGGATTAAAGGATCATATCAGAATTCTTTTGCCCCCTACAGGGCAATTGGAAAAATAACAACAGACGACAGCAGCTGTAGAAGGAATCGGTGGAAAATTTGCAGAAAAAAAAAAACCAAATAAATTAAAAACGCCTCAGATCAAAAGATAAAGGATTCAAATTATGAAAATTAAGACTATAAATATTCATAACTCAGATAATCCTGCCTTGGAGAACAGACTCCAGAAGAGCCAATAAAAGTTGACTAAATAAGAGTTTCTAAGATTTGGGGAAAAAATAGTCCAGTCAGTTTGGTTCTGTTAGTAACAGAAACAGCAACGAACGGATGAAGGTTGGAAAAGATTAAGAAAAAGTCAGATCTTTACCACTGGTGGTGCTGTCACTGACGGAGGAGCTCCTGGAGGTGGAGAAGGGAGCGGAGGTGTTGGTGGTGTTCATGGACGGATGTCTGTTGCTCTGAGTCGCCGTTCGACTCCAGTCTGACCGAAAAAAAACAAAGACATTTGGATTTTTAAATTAATCAACGGGTCAAGAACTTTCCCCTCAGCGCCCCCCTCAGGGGAGTCTGGGATCAGAATGTTCTCACCTGAGTTCTCCGCCAACCTCAGTCGACCGCAGCACAGGTGCGTTCTCCACTGTCTGCGGACGTTCTCCTTCACAGCACAGTGAAAAACAAAGATGAGGAACCCTGAGGAGAACCAAAGAACCCGCGTAAACCTGGAGTGCAAAGGAACGGAGCGTCGTTTCCAGACCCTCCTCCTCCCCCTCCCCCTGCTCCTCCCCCACCTTGGAAAGAGTTGCAGATGGTGAAGAGGTAGACGAAGGGGATGTAGAGCGGCCCCCAGGCGAACAGAGCGAAGCCCCAGGTGAGGCCCAGCAGAACCACCAGGCCCGTGATGCTGCGGGCGTCGGCCAGAACCCCCCTGTTGGCGGCCTGGTTGTGGGGATTCTGCCTCTTGATCCGAGCCAGTTGGACCATCACGATGATGAAGACCACCACGCAGACGGAGAAGATCAGGAGGAAGTAGGCCACCACCCCCACGTAGAAGGCGATGTCATTACGCAGCCAGCAGCTGGAGTTAGAAAAAGGTTTTGTGTGTGTGTGTTTAAAGAGTTACACTTTGAAAACAGCCCGTGCTGTACGTGGCCCACAGATATGTGGCCCACAGATATGTGGACAGGAAAACCCGAATGGAGTGGGACCCAAACAGAGCTGCAGAGTTTATGTGAAAAAAAACAAACATCTCTGAAATAAATGAAAAACTACAGACTTAGCAGACTAGTATAAAGAGCAGGGCTGCCCTCTAGTGGTAAAACATAAGAACAACAGCAAAAGACATTTGTAGATAGAGATATTTGTAATAAAAGTAGGATTTTTTAGGACAAAGGAACTCACAAGTCGTCTGTAGTGCCGTCTGTGTATTTTCCGTATGTGACCAGACCGTAGTTGTCTTTGTTGACAGCGATTATGACAATGACCACGATGAGAGGGAAACCTGGGAACAAACAGCAGACGGTGGTCAGCTGACTGCTCTACAGTGGAAGGTCACATGACATTTTCCTCTGATGAGGAATCATCCATGAAACATAAAAACTGTCCAATTGTGAGTCTGTTCTGTCTCTGTTGATGTCAGTGATTTTCACCCCTGGAGACATGAAGGTCAAAGTTCACACACCAGAAGAAGAAACACAAGAAATCACATTTTCATAAATAACTCTCTGACGTCACCGTTTCCTGTTTGTTTTTTTAAATATAAAGGTAGAAGGTTCTGGAGGTGTTCGAGCCCCACCTACCCCAGCCCACCAGTGAGAACTTCAGCATGTATCTGCTCAGGTACGGGGTGAAGACCTGGACAATGCTCAGGTACATGTGCACGGCCTCCAGTCCAGTCCAGGTGAAGGAGGTGAGCAGGAAGTAGTGCAGGAAGAAGGCGGTGCTGATGCACAAACCCACGGCTGGGTACAGAGCCAACCAGCCATCCAATAGGAAGACCAGGTTCAGGAAGAGCAGCGAGAAGCAGAGCTGGACCAGGATCTTGGCAGGAATGTCTCGCATCAGTTTGCTGAAATAACAAAAAGAGAGAGAAAAACTAAGTTTTTTTTTGTTTTGTGGATGAATGACTTCAACTGTTTTCACTTCAGTCTCAGTTTCTCACTCAAACAGCAGGTAGGTCAGTAACGTGAAGGCCAGGAAAATGGCGGAGACTCCACAGCCGATGTAGGTGATGAAGGTGAGAATCTGAGCGTGGCGTGGATCAATCATCTCTTCTCTGGGAAAATCCTGGAGGAAAGACACAACATCAACCAAAAAAAAAACAAAAAACCCACCCACCACAAAACAGGAAGTTTTATCCAGACCACTGAGCCACCGTCTCACCAGCAGAATTGCAAACGACGTCAGGTGGTTGCAGCTGCAGGTCGTGGCCTCGGCCGTGCTGTTGACCACGGAGCATCCCTCGGAGCTCCAGCCTCCTCTGTCACCTACAGCATGAAGAACATGAAGAAGAAACTGAGGGGAACGCCTGAGGAACTTGACCTCTGACCTAGTGTCATGTGACTGACAGACTGACCGTTCACGGAGAAGTCCCAGAACACACAGGAGGCAGTGAAGTTTTCCTGAAAAGAAAAACCAACATGTCGTCAGGTCGGAGTTCATTTTGATTAATATTTAGACCAAGACAAAAGTGCGGAACTCACCGGAACAGGCTGAAGGTTCTGGATCGTGAAGAGAACGTTCTCCGTCAGGTTACTGATGGATAAGTTAGCCACGCTGGAGCCCAGAACTGGACTGACCATGGTTGTGTTGTCCAAGGTTTCATCCTGAAAACAGAGACAGGCTTTGACTTGAGTTCTAGTCTGAAGACAGACGGGGATTCTCCGAGTGGACGGGAACCTGGAAGAAGGCGGTGCTGCTGAAGTAGGTGAACTGGACTCTGTTGGCCTGCTGTTGCTGCTGCGGACTGAGACCGTCAGTGAGGCCGGGGGGGAGGACCACGGACCCCAGGGCCGAGTCAGACCGTTTAGACCTGGACCTGCCCAGAGCTCGGAGCTGGAATAAACAAACGCATGGGTTTAAAACCAGCTGCTCCACAGTGAAGACACGAATGTCTGACCTGGAGCCTCTCTACCTGGACACTGTTGGTGCCGAAGATGTTGACAGATGTCGTTGGGAAGTTAGTGCCGTCCACAGCACGGACAGCCAGAACCAGAGACTCTGCCGACAGAACTCCTCTGTCTCCACTCAGACTCAGTTTAATTCCCACCGTGTCCACGATCTGAATCAGTCTGTGGACACAAACAGGACAAGGAGACTGAGATCAAGTTCATCTTGACCTACGTCTCAAATTATTGTCACCACTGCTCTGTTATTATTTAAATTATATCTTTAAAAAAAAATTATTGTCACCACTGCTCTGTTATTATTATTAATTCTAATAATAATTCTTAATTCTATAAACTATTATTTATCTAATATAAATAATTTATCTTTGTTACTACACCACAGTGACAGCAGAACGATTCAAAACTATGCCACTGGGTGGCAGCAGACAGTTACAAAGAAAACCTTAGAGCAGTTGAAGAAGAGTTTCATGTTTTTCAATTCTTGTGAATATATCAACATGTCGTGTTCAACTAAACAGGCTCAGCTTTAACACACAGAGAATTGAAACAAGAAGATCATTATAGACACATTTTGCAACATTTTTCTTTTGTGGTGCACCCTGGGAACTTTCTTGTGTAAAATATGTGGCTCAAAAAATGGTTATTAATATAACTAGTGTTGTACTCAGACCAACAGAGGTCTAGGTAGAGGGTAGTATGTGCTATCACAAAACATGAGCTAGCTAAAAACTGTTGGTCAGAAGAACAAAACGGTTCGACTCCAAAGACAATGATCTGTGTTTGTCTTTTTAGGTTCTGATTTTTTTCCCTAAATGCTCAGAGTCGTTATTTTCTGGTCCCATCTTGGGTCAGACACGAGTCGATTCCGTTCCCAGAACGTTTTCAGGAACATCAGAGAACTGACTAAATTAACTGTTTACTGTTTTCTTGGTGATTCCAATCTGTTGTGCTTCACACACACACCAAAACACACACACCAAAACACACACCGCCGTATTGACAGTTGACTGGATAATTACTGCTTTAACAAAGAGACGTGACGTCAGCGTCTGTTTGGATTCAGGGTGGACAGAGACTAAAATGATCTGGTGTGGTGGCGGGAGACCATTGTTACACCACAAACACACAATAATAATAATATGTACAGCGTCTAAATGAAACAGCCGCTCCGTCTGTGGAAAAACCCACTCCGGGTTCTTGGACACGGTTTTCACCTGTTGGCTGATCCAGACAGAGCTGCAGGGTCCGCCTCCACCAGGTTACTGACCACCTGCACCACCTTCTGTCCCAGAGACTCTGAGACTGACGGACCTTCCAGAAGCTTCTCCAGCTGCTTAACCAACCGAGCCACCTGAAGACAGTCATCGTAGAACACCGATGATTAGAAAACTACGACAATTTTATTCTATTATAAAGGGTTTTATTCTACCCTTTAGATTTGACTGTTTTTGGCAGTGGAGCCCTCTAGTGACCAGTTTACTAACGCCCTGCACATTACCATATATATATATATAGATATATATATATATATATATACACATATTTGTATATTTATACATTTCCAAACCTGAAACAATTGTTGTGTACAGGTTCATACTCGAAACCAATGAAGATAATTAGACACTGAGGAGTCAGTTTTACGCAATGTTCACTTTGCATTGCAAATGATTGTCTCTGAAATACTTTCCAAATGATTTCTAGGAGATAAGCAGCTTCTCACCTGAGCGGCGTCCAGTTTGGACACGTCCTTTGTTTGTTCCAGCAGGTCGTCAGCCAGAGCCTCCAGACTCTGCTCAGAGTTTGTGGTTTGGGCCACAGACGTAGACGTTGGATCTGCAGCGTAAAAATAAATAAATAAAATAATTAAATTGAGTGAATAGTTGACTGGACCGGATGTGACTTCAAACACGTGTAATTTAAACACACCAGCTGCTGCAGTTGTTGGATTGTTTGTTGTTGTTGTTGTTGTTGTTGTTGTGGCGTCCTCAACAGTCGTTGTGTCAGTAGGTGGCAGGAGTGCGCCCCCTGTCGTTGTCATATTAGCCACGTTGGAGGTCGTAGTTTTCGAAGCATGAGCTGCTGCAGTTGTGGCGTTACCTCCAGAGTCTGTGGTTGCTGACGGTGTTGTCACACTGGTGGTGGTGTTGTTTGCTGTCTGATTGTAAAGTAAGGTGCTCGGCGGTACTACAGTCACATTTGACATTGTGACTGTTGTGTGATTGCTAGATATGGAAGTAAGTGGGTTTGTTGTGGTGTAATTACTGGAGGTGGTAACACTAGCACTGCTGGGGGTTGTCAGATTGAACACAGTTGTGTGATTGGTAGAGGCTGTTGTATAGTTGTTGGAGGTTGTTGTGTAGTTGACGAATGCTGTATAGTTGTGTGGGGTTGTTGTAGCGTTGATGGTGCTAGCTGTAGTCAAATTGTAATTGGTTGTGTAATTGTTGGATGTTGTTGTATGGTTGTTGATCATTGTTGTAAGGTTGTTGGATGTTGATCATTGTTGTAAGGATGTTGTTGTATGGTTGTTGATCATTGTTGTAAGGTTGTTGGATGTTGTTGTATGGTTGTTGATCGTTGTTGTAAGGTTGTTGGACATTGTTGTATGGTTGTTGATCGTTGTTGTAAGGTTGTTGGTCGTTGTTGTGTAACTTTTGGGAACTGCCGTTGTGTTATTCTCGGTTGTGTAGTTGTGCAAAGCTGTGTTATTGTTGTCAGTTGTCACGTAACCATTAGCTGTTCTACTAGTATTGTTTGTTGTGTAGTTGGGAGACGTTGTTGTGTAGGCTGTGGTTGTATTACGATTGTTCAAGACGGTTGTGTAATTGCTGGCAGTTGAAGTTGTATTAAACGTGGTTGTGTAGTTGTTGACTCCAGTAGTTTGACTGTACTCTTCAGTGTAATTGTTGGTGGTTGGGGTGAAGGTGTTGTTGTTGTCACCTGTGAATTCATTAGTGACTGTAGATTCGTTGTACCTTGTTATGTGACTGGGAATGGCAGTTGTGTGGTTATTAGTTAGTGACGCTGTAGTCGTTGTATTACCTGTAGCCGCAGTGTGGTTATTAGTTAGTGACGCTGTAGCCGCTGTGTTGCCTGTTGTATTATCGCTGTAATTTGTTACACTGGTGCTGTTGACTGTTGGGTTGTTGGCAGGAGCTGTTGTAACATTGTCAGTTACATTATTTGTAGAAGACTGACTAACAGCCGTGTTGGTTGTTGTGACTGTACTGTTGTGTTGTTCTCTAGCACTGGTGACACCCGGCTGTAATGTGTTTGTCATTTCGTTTGTCGTCGTATTGAAAGCTGTTTCATGGCTAACGGTGCGTGTGCTGTCTGATGTGTTGTGTGTTGTTTGTGTAGTTGTTTCATGCCTGGTTGTGTCATTTGGAGATGATGAAACTGGTCTGACTGTTGTTTGGTTGTTTACCGTTGTGTCACTGGGAGACCAGGTTGTTGAGTTGACCTGTTGTACATCAGTGGCTCCAGACTGTGTGGTTGTGGTTGCATTTGTCAATTGTGTTAGCAGGTTAGGACTAGTTGTGTTGTTTGCCGTTGTACTGTCAGGAGTTTCCGTTGTGTTTCTCGGTTGTGACGGTACAGCTGTTGTACCGTTTGTTGTGTCTGTCATTGGCTGGTTCTGAGTGGTTGTGTTCTGGTCTTCTGGTGCCTCAGCAGGTGGTTGTGTTGTCGTTGTGTTATTCTGTTGTGACTCTACAGTCGTGGTACTGTTTGTTTGCTCCGTTGTTGGCTGGTTCTGGGTGGTGAGGACGCTGATCTGCGCGTCAGTGATTGGCTCCAGTGTCATCTGGGTGAACATGGAGTCGTCAGTATAAAGCGGCGTGCTCCATCCAGCCATCTCGCTGCTCGGGTATCCTGGATGCGACAGAATTGTTTCTGTGTTTGATTTAGTCACGCCGACTGTAGAGTGACTCGGTGTCACAGCTGCGTCGGGTTTGGTTGTTGGTAGAACAGGAGGTTGTGTCGCTGCGAGTGCCGTCGTGACTTCCATTTGTCGAGCTGAACTTGTCATGGATCCGCCATTGGTGGTTTCAAATGTCGTTTGAACAAAATAATTCGTGGAGTCACTTCGTGGAGTGAGGGTGGTGGCAGGAGAAGTTGCCTGTGAGCAGTTGTCATATAGGAAAACAGCGAGCGACTCATTCGTCGCACTGTGAGAGAAAAACAAGAGGTAAAAATGTCAGGGACATTTTCGTTTTATTTCATCTGCACAAATTCAAAAATCACTTTTTACTTTGTTGGACTTTTTGCAAACAGATTAAACAGATTTATTAGCTAATGCTTCATGAAAAATAAAACTGTTGTTGTTGGACCATGGACCAAGAAAAATTCTGTGTTTTTTTACCATTTAATATCATGATCTTGTGTGCAGACCTCAGAGAACTGTCTCTGAGTGGAATCCCAGGTCCAGTTTGACCTCAACAAAGCTTCCCTGGTGGAGCCAGCCGAGCCGCACAACACTGAAGAAACACAGAAACATGACAGGATACAGAGAAGTTTGAGGTTTGAAGAAGAGCTGAGGTTGAAGAGCTGAGCGTGAGAAGGTGGAGGGACAGATGATTGACCGAAGAAGATCAAGACTCACCCATGCGTCGGAGACTTTCTTTAACTGAGATTCCACTTGTGTTGAAGATCTGCTGCATGATTTGGCTCAGAGAACAAACGTTCACCGCAGCAGACATCTCCAGGACCACCAGGCAGCTGGAGAAGGTGAAGATCAAAATCTTTAGCAACACCTTTTGATTATCGGTGTTTTGTCTCCAAGTCAGGAAACTTTTGTTTGATGATGTCACATTCGTGTGACGTTGTGGAAACTTTCAAAAATAATTTTTACTAAGAAAAATCACCCCAAAGAATCGTTTGCAATCCCTTACATGTCAATAAAAAGTTAAATATATAAAACCTTTAAATACCTCAGTTTTGTCTCATTGTCACATTTGACCTCAACCTCCTAGAAACAGAAGAGATGAGATGAGAAAAAAAATACAGAATAAGGCAAGGAATAAAAATCTCTGAGGCTTTTATAAAGAAAAAAACATTAGCAAAAAAATACCTTAAATTGAGCTTCATATTCTCTACACAACCTAAAGACACAACATGTCATCAAACGCATGAATAAAATAATAATAATGCAGAGTTTTGAGTCACATTAAGTTCAAAAAGACAAAACTCACTCTGATTGACACTGTACCAGCTGTAACACAGAGAGAGTCGTTAATGGAAAGATTAATTTTTCTTTTTTCATGTTTCTGTTGTTCACTTACCAGAGCTTTGATGATGTTGACGTTGACACTGTTGTTGTTGACATTAATTTTGGTGGCAAAAAACTGACCTAAAAAAAACAATTTCATGTTAAAATCATTATTTCAAATTTTGAAAATAAAATAAAATGAAATCAATTTGTATTATTATTATTATTATTATTATTCAGAACGTTTCCTTACTTGTAGAGTTACAGAAGGCAGAGCAGGTGCAGGAGCTCCCCCCTGAGGCGCAGAGGGGAAACACCGTTACAGCAGCAGTAAATGTGGTTAAAGAGAAGATCAGAAAGTCAAAGACTCTGGTACTCACCACTACAGGAGTCTGGCAGCCGTGGGACCTGGGTCATGGATTCCAGGTCTATGATAGTACTAGAAGTGGTAGAACATGGGTGAATGGGTGTTGCTATTTGGAAAGTAAAAGTAGTAAAAGTATTCCCCACTCACCAGTTGAAGGTGTCCTGTGCACTGGACGGACAGGTTTGTTCCAACGTAGTTGTTAACCTGTGACAAAACTTATCTGCAGGATTTTTGTCCTCACACTTTCCTGGTCCACAAACAGAAATAACCAGGAATCAATACTTTCCTGGTCCACAAACAGAAATAACCCCACATCAGGATCATACATGGTAAAAGTAACAGGTTAAAAAAATGTAGGCCACCTGCTGGCCAACAGTAGTACTGTATCAGACTGACCTCCAAGTACAAACAAAGACTCTACTCACCAACTCTTTCCACGCCGACTATTGTCGCTTTTGTGCTGCTGTTTGCATCTTGCAGCAGCTTAGAGTCTCTGCCTCCCAGCAGGTCACATGGTGACACAGCATGACTGAAGCTCAGGATCATACTGCAGTTCGCATTGCTGAAAACACACACACAAACACGCCGTCCAGTGATCAGAGGAAGGAGCAGAGTGACGTCACACCGAGATCACCTTCTGATTGGTTTTTACCCTGAACTCTGATGCTGGCCGCAGGACACCGGTTTGACCTGTGGCAGAGGAAGAAACGTCAGGTTAAGACTGTTTCTCAGTGAGGACACGTACGTCCAGCGTCTGGATCACAACCTGACCTTTATTTTTTTGCCGCCCTGACAGAAGACTGCTGTTTTGTTATGTGTGCAGGAGAACGTGTCTGACACCTATGAAAGAAAAGAAAGAAAAAAAAAACAGATTTATTCTGCTTCTAGGACTAAACACTGGCCCCTGCAGTTCAGTTTTCATGTTCATTATTTCTGCCTCAGACGACACATTATTCTTTATTTTTTAATTACACTGCATTATAACAGACAAAAGGACATGCCGTAATAGGTTAAACAGGGGCAAATGACTAATTACATCTAATTAATTCTGGAATCCTCCAACGTCTGGAAAGTTCTAGTGGCTCCAGAAGCGGCTGGAGTTTGAGACCAGAGGTTGAAGTGACGGCCGCAGATCCATTAAAATGATTTTAAATCGATATTACTTTCTGTCACTGATATGCTGCTAATTCACTGGATGCTAGCGTGCTACAAACATGCTACATGTTACGTACCTTAATACTCGTTTCTTTGACTCAGTTGACAATCAGACTTACTTAAAAAAAAAAATTAAAAACTGCCCCAGTATACTGTTTGCGAATCACTGAACAGGGCAGTAGATGTGTACTTAGCACCACCAACTGGCCTGAAGTGGCAGAACCGTTCCTCTCTAAAGTCACGATGAAGCTCTGTTTGTTCTCACCAGCTTCTTCGCCTCGTTCTCTATGTTGTTCTTCTGGGTCTGGACATTTAGGACCATCCAAAAATAAGTATCTGTGAGAGGAAAATAAAAATGTTCAGTTGAATTTCACTTCATTGAAAAACGTCTCGTTCTAAAGCTGATGATTCTTACCGTTACTGGAACAGTACTGGAGTGGACTGACTTTACAGGTCGCAGAAGAGGAACCTATTCAGGGAAAATGTGAGGGATATATTTTAAAACACTTAAATAAAATAAATATAATAAGTGCAGTGAATTACAGACAGTGTTGGTTCTGAAAATGCTGTTTATGATATTCATTTAATTGTTATACACCTCAATTATTTTTGGTTTTTTTCAGTGATCAGGTAAAATGAGTGAAGAGTTAAATCCATTCATGTTGATTTTCTTTTCTTTTCTTTTTGACAATGACAATACTTTATTGTCATTAAGCTTAAAATGAAAAAAATGTCATCTGTCAATACTTTTATTTTATTATTTTTTAAATTTTTTAATTAAATGTAAATTATTTTATTTAACTTTTGTTTCATTTATTTTTAATTAATTATGACCAGTCCTGTCTAGCAGCTGAGCCCCTGTGACGCCGGGCAGATTAGTTCTGCTGAAGGTTGAGGTTCTGTGTCTGTTCATTAATAAAACATTTCCGTGTTTTTTTTTTGTTTGTTTTTTTGTCTTACGATATAATGTCATAATAATAATCGCTGCGGGGACGACAGAACGGAACAGAAACAACAATGAAGACAGTGGTGACGTTTTCCAAGGCTAACAATTACAGATAATTATTAACTTGTTAAAAATGATTAATTATGAAAAGACAAATTACACAATTAAAGACAACAACAGCATCATCAACCAACAATAACGTCAACAATGGCACCTGGAATGGTTACATTAGCGTTGTTCACGATGCAACGCAACCTTAGTGTGTGTGGAGAGAGAGAGAGACATAGACATAGACAGAGAGAGAGAGAGTGATAATCCCTGCATATCAGTGACTTAGTAACCGAGAGCTTGTCACCAGGATGGTAAAATACCAGTGTGTGGGAGGGGGGGTCACACCCTCACTGTGCAGAGCGCCCCCCCACCGTGAGTTTATTCACCTTCTTTGTTGGTTTCCTTCTGTTGCTTTGCATCTTTTGCGATACGAGGAGCTTTAAAGGTAGAAAAAAAAAGGAAAATTAGAAAAAAAAAAGGCTGAAAAATGAAGCGATGCTACGACATTCAACGTAAACTATATTTAAGAACTGGTCAGGACTCAGGACCAACTAGATCCTGGTCTTTGTAGCAGGCAGATCTGGAAACACTACATCTACGTCCATTTCTTAAACACAGTCTACGTTGATGGAGGGTGACGTGAAAACATGTTTTTACCAGGTAATGGAACGGCGCCCACCGATGAAACTGCATTTGCTGAAACAATTACAAAAAAAGTTGTTAATCTGAAGAAGACCATCTTCACGTGGACGTTCTGGTGACACGTCTGAGAACTGACGGGTTAGTGAGTTAATGAGCAGAGCATGCCAGAGTGTGTTAGTCACCTGAAATGAAAATGTTAGTAACACTCCCACCGCGAGCAGATTTCGGACCAGTGTTGGAGGACCTCCAGCCCGTACCAGGTCTCAGACCGGTGTTGGAGGACCTCCAGCCTGTACCAGGTCTCAGACCGGTGTTAGGGGACCTCCAGTGAGGACCTGGTCTGTTCGGTAAGACATTGTTGGACCTCCTGTCGGGCCAACCTCTCCAATTAGAGCCCCCCCTGAACCTTCTGCGAGGCTGAGGTCTCCATCCTCTGTGACTGCTGTCATCAGATAACCTCCAGTCAGGTCTGGGTCTCAGACCTACGGGTTTAGTTCTTAGTTCGTCTTTACAAAGTCTGGACGGTCTGGGGTCTAGAAGAAGAAAGAGGAAAAGATGCAGCGTTCAACAAGAACCATGCTCTACACACTACAGCTGTGAGGGGGTTAGTCAGGGAGACGACGACGACGAGAGGAACAGGAGATGTTAGAGAGAGGGAGGGAGAGAGGGAGAGTAAGGAGGGTAAAATAACCCAGCGATGGACAGTGAGCGAAACAGCACCACATAGTGTTGAGTGGAAAAATGGAGCTCGGTTGAACACTTGTAACTCCATGTTCCTTCGTATCACGAGGAAAATCTTAACGTAAACGTAGTCGAGGGCCAGTACCACTAGACTGAAGCCCCAGTGTAGTAGTACTGGTACTCCACATCCATCCATCCATCCATCCATCCATCCATCCACCCACTCATCCATCTTGTTTTCCTGATTGTTTGTTCACGGCCAGACTGTTTTCTTCCATATTTACTCTAAACCAGGTCAATATTGTCAGCTCTGCATCATGTGACCTGCACTGAAGGAACCTGCTGGAAGAACAGGTTATGAACAGGATCGTCATCGTACAAACATGCAGTGATTAGTTTAATTGGTCAGGATTAGTCAGAGAGACAGCGACGAGACGTGAGCGCAGCTCCGACTGCTGAGGATCTGATCCTGCTTTCTCACCACAGGGAAGCTCTTCATCCGTCTGTCTGGCTTTAGGACTGGTGACGCCCCAGTACTCAGAATCCCATCCAATCACGGTCCCGTCCTCGCAGGGGGCGTAGTTGCCCGTGCCGGCCCACATCCTGAACAGATACAGCTCCACCTCGGCCATCACACGCCCGGGGGGTTGATCCCTGGGACGACAGCCCAGCCACAGGGACCCGGACGCAGGAATGGCCTGGGAGTAAACGCTTCTCTCTGCCACCGTCCTGCCCTCCAGCTGGAACCGCACAAAAACAAACACTGTCATCGAGGTCCAGAATCTGATAATGATAATAAAGTCTGGGTCATGATGGGCTTCAGAGCCTCAGGGTCCGGTAGCTCTCACCTCCAGACTGAAGGAGTTCTTGTGGGCGTCCCTCCTCAAACACAGGCGGTGCCACTGCGTGGGCTTCAGTTTGATGGGGAAACGGTGGCGGACCCTCAGCAGCCAGGCGTACACAGCCTTTTCGTCGCCCTCCAGACCCAGCTCGGGCTTGGGGGCGTAGATAGAGCTGTAGGAAAAAGCCACCCAGGCTCCAGGGACCACCACCCGGATGTCGACGCACACGGTCATCTGGTTGAGCTGAGGGAGGCTGGTCCGATCCTGCAGCGTCCAGTGGTCCTCGCAGCCCTTCAGTACGGCCTTGGTGTCTCCGAGGAAATAGTTAAGAACTGAAACCAGAGTGGACCGGAACCAGAGCACAGCTTTAATGTGTGTGTGTAGAAACATATGCATCTACAGAGAACTTCACTGAGAAGAACTACACCTGTAGGTGGCGTTGCTGCCTGCAGCAAGAGCCAGAATAGCAGAGAGTGACGATCTGGACGACATCCACCAAACATGCTCCTGAAGAAACACACACACACACACACACACACAAACGCAGTGACTTTGTCAACAGTGGAATATTAAACCAGGATCATTTCCTGGTCTTTTTGTCTTCAGAGAGTCCAGGACTGGAGGGCAGGGCTGGACCCCACTGATCTGGTTTCACTCTGACCTGGTTTCACACTGACTTCACTTCACATCTTCTCACTGAAACTGGTGACTTTATTATTGGACGTTTGTGACTCGGTTTCTGGCTGTAAAATAACAGATTACTCAGTAACAAAACACTGTTTGTCTCCAAGACAAATAAATGAACACACTGACATTTTTAATCAGATTAATCCATGGGAATCTGTGGATCAATCACAAAATTATATGATCAAATCTGACGCAAATATTTTTCTCTGCATGTAGAGGTCAGTGTTTCTCACCTGTTTTTTATTTTTTATTTTTCTCTAATGCAAATGATGAGATTATTAATCTGGACAAATGACAACGACGTTGTCCTCAACAACATTAATCAGTCTACAGCCCTGAACCATCCACCCGAGTGTTGTGTCAGTCAGACTGTCAGCAGTAGAGTGAGTGAGTGAGTGAGTGAGTGAGTGACTGACTGACTGACTGACTGACTGACTGACTGTCCTGATCTCAGTCAGGCTTCTCTGACACAAGCCGGGCCGCTGACCAGAGGTTGAAGCAGCCACAGAAACATGCTGGGAGTTGAAAAACTTTTCCCAAAAAGAGTTAATAAAAAAAAGTGTGTGTCGTCTGTGTGTTATGAATAAAAACAATGGTGGAATCAGTCACACAAACCTTCAGCTTCTTCAAGGTGGACGTTGGTGCAGAACAAAATTAAAATTCATTTAAACTGATGGTGTGTTGAACAAGTAAAAAGAAAAAAAAAATCTCCCTCAGTCAATAACACATTTTCTAAAACATTCTTATTTTCTGTGTTTATACAGTTTATCTCCTGACGTTTGTCTCATTGTTAAATATTTGACTTTCAGTGTCTGTCGTTCTTATTTGATCCGTACATGAAAATTAAAATAAAAGTTTGTCTGTTTTTTTTTTCAAACTTCAGTCATTTTATGCATTTCCACATAAAATGATACAAATTTTAACTTTAAATTTAATTTTAACCTCAAGTCCAAATGTTCTATTCTCGTCAGTTCAGAGCTTTTCAAGACATTTGATGAAAGGACATTCCCTCCATTCTTTGAGACAAAAGAAAGGTTTGACTCCTGAAAAACACATTTTTCTAATTTTTCTTGGTGACTTTTCAGGTTTTTCTTTTCACAATCGACTGTGAAAGAGTCTTCTCATCTACAAACATCCAAGTTTGTCTTCAGTCCAAAGAACCCAGAGATCTAAAAATGTGGACACACAAGGCGAGTCAGCCCACACTAATTAACTGTTAAGGACTCAATTAATGAACAATTAAATTTGAGGAAACAAAGCATTGATTAAAAGTCTCCTTGTCTCTGTCTGTGAACCTCCTGATCCTGCTGTTGTCACAGAGTCACAGCAGGTCTGTGAGCCAACAGTTTGATGGACGTGGGTTAAAAAAAGACACGGCTGCTGTTTCTGCCTGGAGGACATTTTCACACGTTTGTTCACACGCTCCGACTGAGGAACGTCAGGATAATGCAGATGGTAAAAAAAATGTATATAAATGTATTAATTCAAAACCCTTTTGTTTTGAGACAAACTTTTGGACACCAACTCACCTGACGTGTCGATGCTCCAGGTTTTGATCTTATGTGATAAACAATCCAACAGAGGAGGTCAAGGACAAGGACGAGAGGTCGCCTTCAGTCTGGACACGTCCTTTGTGTCTCATTGTCCCCGTGGTTGGCTCAACATCAGGATAACGTTTGAAGAATGCAAACTTTGTCCCAGCGTTTTCTCTACTCCTTCCTGACTTGGTTTGACTTTTTTGTCCTTTCTTGGTTTTGTTTTTGTTTTCGCTTTTTCTCAACTGCTTTTCTCTCCCTCCTCCTCTGACTCCTCTCCTTTCTTTCTTTTTCCTCTGCCCTGACCTCTGCCGTTCCTTCTGGTCACACGGACTCTCAGAGTAAATCCAGCAGCAGCAGCAGTTATGTCCACCTGCAGATGAAGGAATTCAGATATGAGATTTTGTGCCTGAGGCTGACACTCGGTGAAATAACGACACACCTCTGTGAGGACGACGTCATGGCCGAGGAGGAGACGCAGGAGTCTGAGAACGGACCAGGCGGAGCTGATGCCAGGTCGGCCATGATGGGAATTCTTTATATTCCTTTGAGTCTGGGAAGAAAAAAGGAAAAAAAATACACACACACACAGACATATATATATATGTAAATACAGTGAAAGTCAGCGAGGTCAGGACGACACAGCTGCTGCTGCAGGAAGTGAGGCCGGACTACAAAGCAATAATTATGCTCCATGTGTGGGCGGACGTGTGTGTGTGGGTGGACGTGTGTGTGTGTGTGTTTGTATGAAAGAGATAGGGAATTAGTGTTAATACTAGAAGAGATTTGTCAAGAGAGAACGATGACAGCAAAGGCTCCAGTGTGAAGTGGTGGATTAATGTTGACAAACTGGTCAAACCACACACACACACACACACACACACACACACACACACAGCTGTCTCTCTTACCTTGGCTGTATTCTATACTTTGACCTTTGTGGGCTCACCTCTGACCTCATACAGGGCCAGGTTGTGATTGACGACTTGAACCGTTGGACGGGTGAGACAGAGACGCAGGGAAACAGAGAGACGCAGAGACATGGAGAGAAAGGGAGACAGACGTGTGAATCTGAGGAATGGAATTCTCAGGTTGGAGGTGAAATGAATTCAGCCCGAGGGCGAGTGTGTTTTTTCACAACACAGTCACAGTTTATGAAACTCTGACCTCGCAGTCTGCAGTGGTGACGGCAGAAGAAGAGGACACAGTCACGGTCTGAGTCTCTCTCCCTCCCTCCCTCTCTCTTTCTGTCTCTCTCAGTGGTGACACATCGCGTGCAACCACTGATGCTCACATTTACGTGAAGTGCTGAGAGTATTTGGTTCGTGGACAACAGTTCACTGTGAAAACATTTAAAATGTAAATTATTATTGCTCCTCATGTGTTCCTGTGTCACAGAGAACATCCGGAACACAATGGTTCCATTCACGAGTGTCACAGAAACAGGAGTCACTAACACACACACACACACACGCACACACACTGAAAATGTATCGTTTTCATTAGATGCAGTTTCCGTATTCCTGTGTCATTTGTTTGTGGGTGGTTCAACCTGGGGTCAGCGGCCCTACTTGAGTCAGAGGAGATCAACGAGAACAACAACTGGACTGAAGTCTTGACTGAAGTGGCCGCACCGACTGACAGGGGGGAGTGAAGATGAATTTGAATGTAGCTGTGAATAACGCAGATGAAGGTCAAGAAGTTTTAAAGCAGTGCTTCATGTTTATTTGTGCAGAAATAAGGTAGAAATGCAGGAGCTGACAGAGTGGTGGCGCTGTAGCTCTGTTAAGGAACTCTCTGTGAACAGCCGTGAAAGGTCAGGTAAAAATTAAAAAAGGAAAAGTTTAGGAAAAGTTGAATAAACATTAAATAATAAAGTCTTACAGGAAAAAAGGACCAGATGTGGATTTTTGTCGACTTTTTGTTTCTTCTCGTTTGATTTTCCCAAATCAGTAACGTCTTCACGTCTCAGCTTCAGTTCCTCTTCGGTAGAACACAGTGTTGAAAGGTCTGTAACGACGATTACAACCCGTAAACAGACAAGTAGTGACATAAACGGTGACAAATGAGGTTTCTGACTGACAGCTGGAGTCTGGTCTGAGAAGCTGAGGTTCCTGTAAAGTTCAAAGTCTAAAGTCTAGAGCAAAACCCACAAAGTGTTTTACTGAAAAAAAAAAACCTGAGGAAAAAAAACATGTGCACAACATGAACCAAAATACAACTCAAAGAATCTTCTCACACCTCCCTGCAGCAGTGAGGGTATCAAACACTGTTGAAGCTCAGCCTCAGTTGACTAAAGTGGGGCAGTACCAGATAGCCCAGCTTTGTGTGTTGTTTTGTTCACCGTCTGTGATCTTTGTTTACATACAGTACTGACCTGAAGCTAGCGACGGTCCATGACGACGACGCTGGTGTTTTTAACCCAGTGAGAAGAAATGAAATTTTAATACTGACCGTTTCCATGGATTATTTTCTCGAACGCAGACCATAATAAGGCCGAGGTAAAGCAGCTGATGCTCATCAACTGAAACTAAGCTCAAACTGTAGCATAAACAAGCAGGCGTAGACGCAGCACACCGGAGAGCCCCCTACTGTCCTTCACTAGTTCCCTTGTCTCCTTCCCTTTTCTTCAGCTCCTCCGTACCAGCGTGCAGTCATGTGTTGGAGTTCAGAGAGTGGTGATCTGGTCCACCACCCGGGTGCTGTCGCTCATCTCATCACACTCCACCTCCATCCTCTGGGCATCGCCAACACTGAGCGGGTCTTTGCTCTTTGAGGGGGGCAGGAAGGTGAGGAGGGTGGGCAGGAAGGCCAGAGTATGGAGCGCGGAGCAGCCAGCAGTGAGGATCAGGCAGCGGAACAGTGTGTGGGTCAGGTTAGACTGTACCACACCCAAAGGCAGCAGGGCGGTGCTGTAGCAGATCAGCGTCTGTAAACAGGGAACCCCGTGTCTCTCCAGCGCCGCTCTGACGCAGCGAGTCCTACTGTCACCCCGACCGGAGGCGAAACCGCAGAGGAGTGGGCCGCTGCAGTCCGCCGAGTATCCCAGAGCTGAGATCAGGCACAACACAGACATGCAGTCCAGTTCTACACCCCACAACGTCATGAAGCCCAAAACGCCAAACTGCACAGACAGCATGGTCAGGCCCAGCCACACTGAGACCAGAGGTTTGACCACAGCCAGTGACGACAGACCCAGCAGGAAGAGAACCGCCAGCAGAGAGTGTCTAAGCGGTGAGCTGACCGCCGTGGCGTAATGATCCAGGTAGACAAACGAAGGGTTAAAGATGAGGAATCGAACGCGTGACGTCAGCGACAGCCGACGCAGCGTGTCCAGCAGCACAGACATCTCCTCACGTTTGTTCTCCGTCGTCTTGGCCACCAGGAAGATCCGTGACGCGGCCACGTCCGGCTCCTCGCCTTGCCCATGTTCGGTGAAGATGATGTCATCGGCAAAGTGAGCGAACGGTGGCTCGCGGAGAAAAGACTGTCGGAGCGTGCGTGTGAAGTTCTCCCGCGGCTGGCTGGTGGACTGGTTTCTGCCCGACAGGAAGGTCAGGTACGCCTCCAGCCAGCTGATTCTCTGGAAGCCTTTGGTGTATTCCAGCAGGTCCCGCTGCACTGAGACATTCCAGTAGGGGGCGCTTTCATAGATATAAAACCCAATGACAGGTGAGTAGGAGCTAAAGAAACGCTGCTGTGCACGAGTGTACAGAACTGTTTTTGTCTCCGTTGCGACCAGAGCGCTGAGGTCAGAGCCCTGCGACACCTGAGAGACAGAAGAAGAAGAATATAAATGAACACAGCTCCCCCTGTGGTTTTTAAATGCCATCACATTTATCAGTGGAAAAAAAAAACATGTCAAGAGGGTCTCACCTGTAAAAACCCCATGAGTCCGAAGGAGATATAAACCAGGTAGAGCAGAACCACAAAGGGTTTGACGTAGGTGTTGGTGATCCAGTCTCCGTAGCAGCTCCTCACACATCCCAGCAGGAGGTGGGAGTCCAGAGGGTGAAGGTTTGTGGAGGACAGAGCCCGTGAATGGGGGAGGTGCTGCGTGGAGCCAGTCACATGACCATGACCCTGTAGATTTGTGCACGTGTGGGTATGTGTGCGAGTCAGGTTACAGTTCTGCGCCTGAGTTTGTCTGACCCTCTGTACGGGGTTGGCGGTTTGAGTCTCCTCCTGGTATCTGGTGTACATCAAACATCGGTACCACGAGGGTTTGGAGTCCAGTCCCTCCGGTTTAGGAACCCTCTTGCAGAAGCAGCCGTGTCTGTACTCGGTCTCCAGGAAGCCGGTGAAGACCAGACACGAGGTGTAGAAAAATAAGGTGTATACGTAGCTGACGGTGACGGATAAGGCAGCGGTGCCGCAGAAGAGCCTGACGGCCTCCATGTTGGTGAGCGGTGAAGCCGCCAGACCCAGGGTCATGAGGTGGAGCAGGGTGGAGCCAGAGAAACGCAGCATTACGTCCTCAAAGACGCTGGCGACTCGCTCCTTCACATGCTGGTCCTCACTGGTTCTTCTCCAGGAGGATAACATCTCAAAGGAGCCGAAGAGTCCGTGACCTGAGGACGAAACAAAACATTTAATGTGGAGATTATAGAAAACAGAAAAGATGACGTTTAGACACAAACAGCTGATTCTTACGTCGTCATCCAGATTATCAGATGACACAGTCTGAATGTTTTTTCCTGACATTCAAACTGACCATGAGAACAATGAACAAAAACCAAAACTAAACCTGGTTTAAACACTGTCCAATCACACCAACCACCATCTCCATTTTCCCATTTTTTTCATTTTCACATTCCCATTTCCCAAAAACCAAAACTAAACCTGGTTTAAAACACTGTCCAATCACACCGTCCACCATCTCCATTTCCTATGTTTTTTTTTGACCATCTTTGTTCTAGTTTTCACTGACGTGGAGCTGTTTTTGGATAAATCTGTCCTCAACATGAGACTGATTGACAGCCCTTACGTATATAATAATATTATCATTAATAGTATAATTGGGCGACAGGCAGGGGTGAGCCTCTTTCTGCCAAATTACCTCTGCGGTGCACTGAGCACGGCAGAGCAAGTCATTTACTTCCCTTTCCTTCCATTCCCATCAGCCTAAGTGTCATCAGGCCCCGAGTTGATACAGTCTGCAGCTGGTTGCCATGGCACCAGTGGGTCATCAGTGACCTCACCAGGAGGTGGGGCACAGGGAATGGAAAAAAAAAGAAGGGCAAAGAAGGACTATATCTACATGCAGTTCACAGACACACACACACTCCCGAGTAAATAGTTGTTTAGACTTAAATTCAAAGACAAAGAGAACAAACATTGACACAAACCTCCTCCGTTTACCCTCCATCTCATACAATCACATAAACACACCCTGTCAACGTCGATGGGCTTAAAATTAAACTAAACAAATTGTAAATAAGGTCCCACTAGAAATACTGCATATTCATGGAGTTAAATGAGTTACTTCCCTCAGGCCCAGAATCTGTGGCTGCAGCCCTGGCCCGTGACCAACAACATGTGTCACGGCTGGAAAAAAAAGGAAGTGAGAGAGAAAATCCTGTTGATAAGAATCTGGTTTGTAACCCAGTCCCTCTGTCTACGCTGATGACACACGTATCTGTATGTTTGGTCACAGAGTTTAAAAAATAAATAACATCCTTATGTTCTGACAAGGCGTCAGTGTGTGTTTGAAGACAGGGTGGAGGAGCGTCAGTCGTTTTCCCGAAAACCTTTGTCTCATTTTGTTAAAACACTCCGCAAACAAACGGAATAAGTGGAGACAGAAGACGAGGAGCTTAAAATAAAAATTAGAGGTGGATTATTTGTGTGTCTGATTGTCGTTGGGTTTACAGAACAACAGCTCCAGTCTGACTGTCTTCACACCTGTCAGGTTTGGTTTGATCTAGGACCAACAAATGAACTGTCAGTCTCCCCCTTCAGGCTGCTGTGTTTGGGTGAAAGGTGAATGAAAATGACTGGAGAGAAACTCTCCACACTCATCATGTGTGAACGGCAGTGAAAACCCACCTAACATCACGAAGGGAATTCCAAGGTAGGTGGAATTGTACGTGGCTCCACTCAGGTTCAGGATCCCGGCAGCGGTGAGTCCAGACAACGTGATGGACAGGAGGGCCAGGAGTCCTGACCAGGGTTTGGACCGGACACAGTCCCTCATGGAGCAGCAGAGCGTGGCCAACACGCCGCATACCACCAAACTGGCCAGCAGAGGGAACCGTGACAACACTGAAGAGAACTGGAAGTCTGTCCTGAGCGAGGACGAGGTGGTGGGGTAGAATCCCAGCTTAGGGTACAGCTCTGCAAAGTCCTGTAGCACCGAGCAGAAGGCCGTCTCCCATTGGCTGGCCGCCCGCTCCATCAGGTCCCCACGGGTTTGGAGATAATAGGACAACTGCAGCGCCCGTGCTGATCGTACGCTTTCGCTGCGGGCCGTGGTGTCTGGACCTCGCACCGCTCCACCTGGGCCCCAGCTCTGAACCCCCCCCAGCTGGTGGCCAATGTAGGCCTGCCGACCGTCTTCCAGCTGAGTGATGGGATACCGCAACACCGGCACCGAGCGGTTAGCGGTGCGAGCCAACTGGATTTCCTCCATCGCCCTGAGGACGTCGTCGATGATGCAGGCATTCGTGTCGTCGGGTAGACACAGGTAAGAGAAGGAGTAGTTAAAGGTCGACGACGGAATGGTCACCTGCATTTGGTAGAGTTGTCTGTGGAGCTGAGAGCATTAGAAGAAAAAAAAACAGTCAGAGTTCTGTTCAAAGAAATACAAACACATTTTTAAAAATAATAATTAGGCCACTATGAGTGTATTGTGGCAAAGTTACACAGCATTTTTATTTTCTTTTGCCAGCTGGCTAAGGATTGTGGTTCTCAATAAATTTTTGTCTTGGGGACAAAAATGTCCCATCCTCACCTCCCTCCGGCACCTCACTGCACCCCGCCCCACTATTTGAGAAGTACTGGGTACAGGGGAAGTGTAGCAATGTACCATCATGTCCAGCAGGCGTCAGTAATGATTCCCTGAGTTAAAATATTTCAAAACTTCATCAACTGGATTATTGATGTAACACTGAAGCTCCTTCCAACAGTGACACCCAGTGTACAGACGTGTAAAGGGACAGTTCCACGTTATTGAGGTGAGAGTTTATTCTACCAGACAGAACTGATGTGGACCTGAGTTAACCCAGAGCGCCACCTGTCTGTCACTCAGCCAAGCAGTCGGCTGCAAACTCTGCATCTCACTGATTCTGTCTAGTTAGTGGAGGCCTCACCACTGGTACCAGTGCTTGGACAGTGGGCCACATTAACTGACAGTGGGGGGTTTTATTTGGTGGGGGTGTCACAGGTTTGTCCACAAATGACGTTTCTTCCACATGAATGCTGCTAATTAAGTTTTTAGCTCCTGTACCTGCAGTATGGTGTCCATGTTGACCGGGTCCAGCACGCTGCCTTTCCGGCTGGTGATGATGACCCGTCCGTATCTGCCGCTGGTCTGCAGGTCAGAGTAGAGAGTGTATTTAGAGCGGGTCGCCGGAAAGAGGCTCTCCACCAGGTTCCCCTCGATCTTAGCCAGACTGTGTTTCGGGACCAGCAGGCTCTCCACGTCCTCTTCCACGCGGTAACGGCTGAAGCTCGAGCCCAGCAAGATGGAGAGAAGAACCGGCGCAGAGGCGAAGAAAACCGGGTAAGTGGCTACGAAACGCCCGACGGCGCAAAAGCAGCTCCGCAGGCCGGAGTGCAACACCTGCCGCAGCATCCTAGGGCGCGGCCGCGGCTCCAGCCGCTCCTACCGAGCCGAAAGACCCGGAGCCGGAGCGGACCCGGAGCCGAGCATCAGGGACTGCAGGAGGCATCAGTGATGAGCTTCTGCGTCGGTCTGGGTGAGAAGAGAACCTGGGCAGGGAAAATCCAACCCCCCTCTCCCCCCTAACTCCGCTCCTTCTCCAGAGCTCTGGCCATCTGCTGGAAGAGGAGGAAAAAAAATGAAAACGTCAGATGATCATGTTCCTTCTGCTGCTGCTGCGTTTTTTTTAAATCGATCTAAACAAAGTGAACAGACCTGAAGATGATTCCAGATTATGCTCTGCTCTCCTCCAGCCTTCGTCACCACAGTCTGCTCTGCGGGGTGAAATGGAAGGGGAGGCGCAGGGGGGAGAGGAGAGGAGGTCCAGTGACAAAAAGACGCGCCGGGAGGTACCGGCGAGTCAGTCACTCAGTTTGGTCCGATTGACTTCCTGTGCACCGCAGGATTTTCCTGCCGCTACGTCTCTGCTGTCATGGTTCCAGGGTGAGGTGGAGGAGCACCGGGTTATCACCGGGTTATCACCGAGTCATCACCGGTACTGAAGCAGCAGATGATGCTGATCCGCCACCTCTCCCTTTCCCCCTCTCCCTCTCTCGGCTATCCTTCTGCTGCTGCTGCGTGTGTGTGTGTCAGTGTGTATGTGTGTGTGTCACAGTATTCAATTAAAACTCATCACTTGACGCATACATTAAAGGTCAGATTTTACCCCTGTAAATTAAAGTTAAATAAAGTTCTAGGTTTATAATGTGATAAACAACACACTATATATATATATATAAAGGTAGAAATCAAACATTAGGTGGCGCTTTTGAGAACATTTACACCAAATCCGTCTCGGCTGTGACAAAAAAAAAGTTACATGAATGTAACAAAGCGCTATTTCCTCTCCACAATCTGATGGTTGTGATGCTGTGGTTCCCTGTTGTCATGGGAACAAAACTACGACAATTCCCTTTTCTCCCTCTTTAAAAAGCCCTGTGGTTACCATGACAACAGTAATGCATCAACCCCCAGTATCACGCGCACAGCCTAATATACTGACCTGGAAACAGACACAATTACACACTAACTAAAACACTCATCTGTTTTCATTCATCCATCCATCCATCACCAGTGTGGTGTGAGCAGCTGGAGTCCAAACCCAGCCCTGATTCCTCAGTATGTAACTAAGAACTGTTGTATTTATTTATAACTCAGAGCACACGAAAATGAACGTCTGTTTCCTGTTTTGTGTGAGTCTGAGTCTGTGAACAGACGGAGAATCAGCAGGTGTGTGTGTGTGTGTGTGTTTGTGAATATATGTGGTTCTTAATATAGGCCAACACAGGAAGATGAAGTTAAAGAGTCAGGTCTGGACCCTGGACAGATGGTTCCTGGTCCATCCTCAGTACGGAGACTCTGGTTCTACCAGTGTTCTTCGTGTTTATAGGAGAAATGCAAATAATCGTTTTTGTTCGGCGCCACAGCAGTTGAAAGATCTAATATCTAACAGGTAGAAAAACCAAACCAGTCCGTCAGCACCCGGTCTGGTCTAAACATATCTGGACCGGTACCAAACCATTAGTTTAAACGTGCAGACTGGATCCAAATCACAGATGTTTGTTCAAACTTGAACTTTCATAAGTTCATAAAAACAAACATCTGACCCTGATGGGTCACAGCTTGACCTTTAACCTGAGAGAAATCAACCGTCGACTAAAGATGTGAAGAAGAAGAAAAATGAGTTTTAAACATTTCCTCTTTGGGTCTTTGCTGCAGTCATAAAATAAAAACCAAGGCCAGACTTCTTTGCTCCTTCTTTCCCTTATTCATCATTCCCTCCCCACCTCCTCCCCCTCCCGTCGCTCGTTATGTTGTGGTACCTGCTCATCCTTTCATAAAGAATTCATCCCTTCATTTCCATTTTCATCCTCTGTTTTAATTATGTGCTGCTCTATTTATAGATCCTAGAACTAGTGCACCATCACCATTACCTTAACAACATCACCCCCCGTCACCACCTTCCCCCTCTGATGTAGTTCAACTTAAGGTGGACTTGGACTTGATTTAGATGAGGATTGAAACAGTCGAGGAAACATCAGTCAAATCATCACCACAAACTAGACAATTTAGTTAAAATGTACTTGTTTTTCCTCTTGATGACTCGGGGCTTTTTGTGTCAAACACCATCTGACCTGAGGGGGGCGCTGATGAATCGTTCTTCCTGCACTTCCATCTCTTTCCTCTCTGCCGGCCTCACAGACTCTAAATGTCATTTTACAGAGTTGTTCTTGGTTAATAAGACGCAGACAGTGAAGCTGTCAGAGGAGGCCTGAGGGAGCACAGAAGGTCAGAGGTCACAGACACACAAACAAAGTGAAAACACATGGGATTGTAGCCAGGATTTTTAATCTGAAGAACAAACACAGAAGGATCTTCAGCCATATTTCTGAGCTTTAGCAGAGAACGATACCTGGATGATAAGGACGGGCGTCTGATGACATCATCATAGTAACCTTATCTTTATCTTCTTCGTCATCATCAGCTCACACAGAAGCAGACTGAATTTAACCTGTTAAAATAGAACAGCGTCTGCCCTCTGCTGGACGTAGTTGAACATGCAGAGGCAGCAGAACCACAGCAACGATTATTTTCGTTTTTGAAAGTGATTCTTTGTTTAAATAATCTGTTCGTTATTTCGTTTGTTTTCACAGTAACAGTTTATTTTAGTCACTTTCCACAAGAACAAAAAGGTCATAGGTCAGTGGATCAAAGTAGTTAATAATAATAATAATAATAACTATTGAATTTAAATAAACTAACTGAGATAATGGTCCTTTAGTTCTGAGAGTAGCTGCAAAACACGTTACAGTAAATGTACCTGTACTGTATGTAAAAAAAAAGAAGTAAAATCCAGTCTTTTTGACATTGACCACAAACAAAAACATGACAAAACAGAAACAACGGTTGAACTTATTAAGATTCTGAGAAAATCACCGTGTCACTGTGACACACTGCTGTTGTAGGTTGTTTTTTTAAATTCTAGTGACATTTTCAAGTTCAGAGGTCAGAGGTTAAAGGTCACCACACCCTACAGGACTGAGCTCCTCTGTTCATCAGCGATGACTCAGGACAATTGAAGACTCCACGGAATTCTTCATAGTTACTCATGGCTCCAACGACTCTGAGAGAGGACACACACCCACACACACACACAGAGGTGAGGGTGTGTGCGTGTGTGTCCTCTCTGTGTCAGTGTGTCTTCTGTCCCTTACCTGTACTCTGGTGGACTGTGGGCTCCACTCTGGATCTGGTCTCTGGCAGCTTCAGGTCTGTACGAGTTACATCTGACCTGTGAAAATACACGGCCATGACTCTGGGTCGACGTTACCATGGCAACACTGACCAACAATGGTTGAGACAGGAATTTGTCTATGCGTGTGTGTGTTTTTTTTCCTACATGAGCATAACTGAGGAAAAACAGTTGGTTGTTGTTCAGCTCCACTCCAGGAAGCAGCGGTTCTTCAACTCCACCTCTGCTCTGCTCCACCCATCGTCTGTACGCCTAGAACACACACACATACGCAAGGGGAAATGATAGAGAGCAAAATAAGCGGGAACATTTGTTACACTTTCATCACCTGACACAGGTGACTCAGGTTTCGAACCAAAATGATTTTTTTCCTAATCTACAACGCAGGCCTTCACCTAAAGGTCAATTGAGACAGATAATCCCAGATATGGTCAGATAATCCCAGATATGGTCAGATAATGCTAGATAGGGTCAGATAATCCCAGACTCACTCTGAAGGCCTGTCGGATTCCTCCATTGTCTGCGATGTTCTCAGCCAGAGTTCTTTTCCCACGAACCTACAACAACAGGAAAATCACGCTCGCTGATTTACATCACTGATAACGTTTGTGTTCAGAATGTCGTCCGAGTCTGGCGTCGGTTACATTTAGCCCCGCCTCCTTCCAGTGATAGTTGTTATACTGGTCAATCATACACTGAGTTTTCTCATTGAAGGCTGTGATGGAAGAGTTGGTCCACCACTGGTCCAGGTTTCCATCTTTGTCATATTTACGACCTGATCACACACACACAAACACACACAGGTCAGATCCACAGCTGTACAACATGTAGACGCACACACACACAGGCACACACACCGTTGTTGTCAAAGCCGTGCGTTAACTCATGTCCAACGATGACACCGATGGCTCCGTAACTCAGTGACCTGCAGACAGAGAGAACTTCAGTTCTGAAGGTTCAGAGTCATTCTGTCAGATCCAGGTGGACTGACCTGGGATTATATGTACTACCTCAGATTAAAGTCATTTTCTCAGATAAACATTTGTCATAAATTCATATTAAAACCTGGGATAATCTCCTCCCCAGAAGAACGGCTTCTGAAGTTCTCCAGCAGGAAACCCTTCAGGACAGAAGACAAATTTTTTTTTTTAAACAAACTCAAAAAATAAAATAGAAGTCTTAAAAACAGTCTGAACTGATAAAACAGATTTAATGTATGAAAATAAGGTAAAGTTCTCACTGATCTGATTGGTGGATGAACTGTAGAAAGCATTGACTGTGGTCGGGTTCGTGAACCACCTGAAGAAAGTATAATAATAACAACAATAATAATTCAATTAAAAATAATTTATGTTTATCCGTCAGTACAACAGCGTAAACAAATGTTTATTTTCGTGTTTTTATCCTTTCACTCACTCTCTGCGCGGGACTTCCTTCCTCAGCCAGGAGATGTCAGACTGAGCGACGAACTTCAGCGTCTGCATCACGTTACCGTAGTAATCCAGCTCGTTAAACTTCAGCTGAACCAGGAACAGAACGTGGGATTAGTTTAGGTTCCGTTCATGTGATTTTCACAGGTTACAACGTTCACAATTTTACCTCCTTTAGATCTTCATTGAGGTACGTGTCGTTGAGGATGAACTCAGGATAGCCAACCTTGGCCAGAACTGAGTGAGCCTGGAGAGCGGGGGTGTCGAAGTATGTAAAATGAGGGGGGGAAGGGAGGGGGCATCAGAGACAGAGACAGAGAAAAGACATTTCAAGTGTTTCAGTGAATTCAACAGTCAAATAAAATGTAAAAAAAAATTCTATTTAAAATTAATTCAGGAGTTCAGATTAAGATTAATTTAATTTTTTCCCTTATCAAGAAATAAAGTTTGGACTTAAGTGAAAATTTACAACTGGTTCAAATTAAACAGTTCACTTTTCACTATGTGAAAAGATGTCAGTAGCTTCACTGGGTGGAGGGTCTGTGTGTATTTCAAAGACCGTTGGAAAAGTGTGTTTCAGTCTGGAGTTTGTGGTGATAAGAACAACGGTCTGACCTTCGCCACAGCTCTGCTCTTGGTTTTCTCATCCATCCACCTGTTCTCCTTCTCTAGCATGTCCACGAACGACCAACGGATTCCCTGGATCAGCTCCTCCATCTGACACACACACACACACGCAGAATCATAAATGAAAATTTAAAAAAAAAGGTTTGACTGAAAATCCTCTCAAAACTTCTTTGAAAATTTAATCTTGTCTAGTCAAGCTACAACTCTACGTCCACGTTTAATGACATTATTCAAGTCATTTCCTGTTTCAGGAAACAACAATAAAAAGAAAACAATGTGTAATAGTAGTGACAACTCCAACTGTTATTGTGCAACAGACAGAAGGCAAACACACAGGGGTGTGTGTGTGTGTGTGTTTACATTAGAAAAATATATAAAAGTCTAATTACTCTGCAAACACACACCCAAACTGACGCACAGAAGATTCTGATATTTAAATAACACACAAACCTACGCTGCAGTTGTGGTACACACCTGGGTTAACACAACTAAACAAATACACACACACACACAGGTAAAACACACCATCAGTTTTTTATCCTCCTGGAAGTGTGTGTTGACAAAGAGTCGTCCGGTGGCGTAAACCAGAGTGTTTTCAACGTAGTTCACACACTTGTCCCAGCGAGGGGTCAGAGACGTGGTTCCTGTGGTCACCTGCAGGGGGAGACAAATACACAGACACACAGTTGAGATCATAGAAATGATGGGAAACAAATTTTCAAAGTGTGAGAATGTCGATTTGTGTAAAACGTTTTGCTCTGGAAAAACTCACGCGAGAAAAATCCAGGAACCTGTAGAGAAACCGTCGACTGAGAGACGTGACCCTGGAAAAGACTGCCCTCCACTGGATGTAGTTAGCCACTGTCCTGGGGGAGAGGGGAGGAGAGGTAAGCAGAGAAGAAGCGAGGAAAGGAGAAAGGAAAGGAGGGCGTGTGTGTGTGTTTGTACCTTGGATCAGTTTTGTGGATGATTTTAAACAAATCTTTCAGATACTGAGGAGCTCTGACGATGACCGGCTCAGAAGAAGTGATGGAGAGAGAAGAATGTTCAGAGTGGGACTTCACAACAGCTGTGATGAAAGACAACCAATCAAACTGACACACACACACACACAAACGTATTTATTAATTGTCTTTTTTACTGAGGTCAATTGTTGTGATTAGGCTCAGGATTAGGATTAGGATCTGGATTGGGATCAGGACAATACCTGTGGGATGAAGCTCTGCAGACTGGCTATGGTGTGTTTGTTGTACATGGTGTCGCTGGTTCGATTCTCAAGGGGAATAATGATCTGCAAACAGAAAAAAATATATATGTATACTTTGAAATGAAGTCAAGGTTAAAATAATCTGATAGTAGGATTATGTAGGATTAAAATCTTCTGAGAGAATGTTTGTACATGTGCCAGTTTGGTCTCAAAGGCCAGAACTTTTTCCATCTGAGTCTGAGCTGCAGTTCCAGGAGCTCCGAGCATCACGGCCACATCGACCATCAGACTGAGCAGAGCTGCTCGCTTCTGAGGACGTCAAAAATAATCACACAAAAAATATCAACATTAGAATACATGACCAGTTACAGACCACAGTCAATGACCCGAGCACATCTTCACCATGAACCATTAACACTCAGTTATTCTGTGTTCTAACGCTGTAAAAATTTAAATATTATATATAGAAATAAAAATATAGATATAAATAAATTATATATAATAAAAACATTACTCTGTAAAATCTTCTGTTGTAACATTAATGTTCTTTACAACATTTTTTCTGCTTCTTAAGGTCTGTACAATGAATCAATGTCGCCGCCTAGTGCTCAAATACAGAATGCCCTGTCTTTTATATCACAAAAACGAAAAATTAAATCAATTTAGTTTGGATGTTGAAAAGGCCAAAAGTCGAAAGGTTTCATTCTCACAGCCTGAGCCGAGGACGTGTTGGTGATGTAGTCTTCTCTGGAGGTCAGAGACAGAGACGCCTGGTCCAGCTGTGAGGAGACGGACACAGAAAGTCAATCTCCGCTCAGTGTCTCTGCTGTTTCTGCCTTATTTATAAAGAATTCGGCCAAACACCTTGATGATGTACCGGGAGGAGTTCTTGTCGTCAGGAGACACGTAGAGTCTGACCAGAACACTTTTACTCTGTTGGTTCCTGATCTCAGCCAAGCTCTTCAGGAGGTTCCACTGACTCTCAGACCACTGGTACTCACCGCCCAGACCGTCGCCCACCACCGGCCAACGAAACTCTCTCTGCCTCAGAGTCTTCAGCAGAGGCTTGGAGTCCTGCTTCTCCAGCATGGCTGAGACAGAGCACATAAAAAAATAATAATTCAATTATAATACAATTACAAAAACAGTGTGTGTGTGTGTGTCAAACTCACTCTCATTCATGCACGATCTGTAGAGAACCTTAGCTTTAGTCACAGCCTCCAGTTCTTCAGGACCTGACGGAGCCTCGAGTAACTCTGACAAAAAATTTAAAAAAATAAACTAATTTGAAAAATGTCACTCAATTTAATATAATTACTTATATTTCCTTAATGTCTCATTAGCATTGTTTTTATTCCTGTGCTGTCAAACTAAGTTCGTTATTATTGTTGATCTGGACTCAGACACAAACACAAAAACAAATAGTGACGTTTCTGATCATTAATATTGATGCTCTGATTGGAGACAGACTGACGCTGATGTTTGAACACAACTTTTTAATTATTTCCGTCTCTGACAAGAAACTTTCAGAAATGACCATTTTGAGTGAAATCCCACCTCTGAGCTGCAGGTCCACGTGCTGCCTCAGCCAGGGGTAGATGCCGTACGAGGAGGAATCCTCGGGGATCGGGTTCTCCTTGAGCCAACCTCCGCAGGAGTATAAATAAAAGTCCTCACACGGATCAACGGAGGGGTCCATTTTGTTTAGGATAGAGCCGGCTGCGGAACAATGACAGAAAAAAAGAGAGCTTTTACCCCCTCTGCTGGTCGGACTCGTAACGACTAGTCAGGCAACGTATTTATGTTCTTTTTAAATTATATACTAAACTTTATGTATTTACGTATTTTTGTTGTTGTTCTTATTCGAACTCACTCTTTCTTATGTTAAGTGTTATTTTAAAGTGTGTAAAATTTTAAGGGGACAAAAACAACTCACCTGCTTCGATGCATTCAGGGCTAAGACAGAACTGCTGCTCACTGGACCTCTGAGACACTGGACAAATAGAAACAAAACCGACCGTCAGAACATAGCGATCTAGAATCGATGTGAGCAGACGAACGATTTCATCGAAAGACTTTGAACTATTTGGGAAAAGCTATTCCCGAGTTAACGCGTCGTTTTCTGATGTTAGCTACGTTTGCTAGCCTTTAGCTATTTCTCGATTACAATTCCATGAAAGTAAAACAGAGAGTTTATGTATTATTTTTAGGTCAAAGTGTCCTGTATGTACATCGTCACCCCAGTCAAGATTCTATAATAAAGAATATTCTGAAACTGATTTGTTTTTGTTGTTTTTTCCATCATTTTCTGGCGTTCTGTTTTCCGTCGTGTCAGAGCTTCGGTCTCCTGAGTGGTACGGCAGGGGCAGCGGGTGTCTATGTGGGCGGGAAGCATGTATATACAGTACATGTCTAAATATAGGCTACTATATACAGTACTTGTCTGTACACAGAAGTCTAAATACAGTGCTCTGCCTCAAACCGCATGAATGTTGAAAGTACAGAGTCGTGCTGGAGACACAGCCGTCCTCCCATGAGAAAGTCACCAGCGCGAAGTCGACGTCAAACACCACAAACCACAGCTTCCACGAGAAAAACGACCGAAACGAGAACCTGGAAATCATGTCCCTCCATCATTGTTAGCAGACTAATGACAGATACACACATATAACATATACATTTCTATTACTATAGTTATTAATATAGTTTTGTGTTCATGTATTTTATAGTTTTAAATGGATGTTTTAATAGTTTAAACGCGGGAATTCCGACATTTGCGTACAACTTGAACACACCGTTAGCTCCAGTAGGAAAAAGCCAGAAACTTTCATCTGAGAGGAAAGTGGGGTTTTTTTAGGTCATTTCTTGAAAGGATGAAGCACAAGAGTTGTTTTATTGCCTGTTCATTGTTCTGGAAACCACCGGAAAGAGGCCACAGAGAAATGAAGGCCTGACTCATGGGATGGAAAGAGTCTGGATATTGAACCAACATGGCGGTTTTCTGTCACATCCCCCTAGCGTCCATCTTTAATTTACTGAATATAAATCAACGGCTAAGAATACAATACAATAGAGTACAGTCAGAGTATTTTTTTAAAATTATTATTACTTATTATTATTATTATTTGGCAAATGCTGGTAAAAAATATATATCTTATTTAATTTGCATTTTCCCCACATAGTAGAAGTAGTAAAGAAGATCAACTTAAATGAGCTAAAAGTTTACCAAGAAGTCAGTTGGAGCATCTTTGAGGTTCTGACTATTCGACATGTGTCTGGTTGATCACACACACACAAAAACAGATTGGGAAAAAAAACAAATGAACAATTCTACATTCCTGTGTGTGGTCATTCACACAGTCCCATTACAGTGGGTGTGTGCGAGGCAAACACCCATAATTATACATCATCGCCACGATGAGAATGTGAGCTTCCTTCAATAACAAAAAGATGTACACACATGATTTTTTTTGGTTACACTGACAATAAAATATTTAATATAGAAATGTTTAGATTTCTTTTTTTTTTACCAGGGCTGGGGCGTTAATTTCGGACATACTGGTGACACTTCTGCACACACTCCAGCCTGCAGGTGGCAGTAATGAACATTAAATTGCCAGCTAGATAAAGATCAGGATTTGGAAGATTGGATTGTTGGGAATTTTTTTTAACTTCCTGATGCCACCATTAATTATATATATATATGATATAGTTTAATTATATATTATATTATAAAATATATATAATATTTATATAATTAAAGTATAACAGCTGTAGTTGTACTGTGAGTTTGAAGTAATCTGTGACTGCAGTAGACAGGTGAGGCACCTGTTCTTTAACTTCAACTGAACTGAATGTATTACGCAGTATTTTACAGTAACAACTGCAGTAGTACTTGTAGTAGTTGCTGTGCCGTCCACTGTGTTGTAATAAATCTGTTCTAGACTGTGTGGTGACAGGATGTGTTTTGTTTTGTTTTGGGTTTTTTTTTTTTTTACACACCAGACGGCTGTGTTTATTTTATTTGGATCAGTCTGTGGTTAATGAAGATTAACTGATATTTCCTTCACACTCACTGTTTTCCTGTTTCCTGTCAGGTATCCAAACACTGGACTTTGCTGCCTCTGCCTGACACTGACACAGACACTGACACAGGTACAGACTGTGGGTCTGTTCTACACCAACGTCTTCACAGACAGACTGTAGTTTCTGTGCGAACACAATCATCCCAAACCGCTCCACATGTTGTTGCTTTCATATGTGACTCAGGGGGAGCCTGAAACCTTAGATGAACCAAAAATAGTCTGAGACCAGTTACTGCTACACATTCTACAACCAGGTCTGCTTTCACACACTCTGTGTGTGTGTGTGTGTGTGTGTGTGTTTTCTACAGCCGGTGTACACTCCACTGTACTATAATGAAGGAATTCTACAAATTAAAATGTGTGTGTGTGTGTGTTCTTACCCAGGATGAGTGCGAGCATCAGAATAGCGCAGAGACACATGCACATGATGAGACCGATCTTGTAGAGTCGGGGGTTGCAGGTCCCAGGTTTGATTCCAGGGACACCTAAACGCTCCATATCCATGTCCTGAACACACACACACACTGGCACTCAACACAGTTCACTCTTCAAAAAAACCAAGCCCTAAAAAAGTGATAAAAACATAAATAAATAAAAGAATTAAAAAAAACAAAACTGTTTAATGTGAAAAGTTAAAATTGAAAAAAAATGAATGAATGAAAACCAAAAACCTCAGTGAATGAGCGCTGACTGTGTGTCTACACTGTCCTGACTGTCAGTTTGTGCATGTGTGTGTGTGTATCCATGTGTGTGTTCTACTCTAACTTCACAGTAATACCCCCTCATCACTTCATCACTCCTCTTCCTCCTCCTCCTCTAACATCACTCCTCCTTCTCTCTCCTCCCTCTCCGGCACATGTCCCACTGTGGACCACGGCTGCGCTTAGAACTTACTGCAACTGACAGCGACACGTTAGAGTGTGTGTTTGTGCTCATCTGTGTGTGTTAGTAGACATGAGAAGCCCCTCCCCCCTCCTGTGTTTTTCCCTGAGGGCGCTTTAAAAATGACAGATGAAAAAGTCAAAGGGTTAAAGTTCTCACCTGGACTCAGAAATGAAAAACAGAACTTAAATAAATAGTCAAAAATGACTTTTTTAGCGGGGGAACATCCTAGGTTAAAAAACATGAGCAGAAAATAAAAAAACAAATAATAAAAATGTAAAGTCGTCCAAACGACAGCAGAGAGACAGGTGTAATCTGAGGTGAAACGCAGACGCAAAGCCTTTGCTCTTAATTACATTAGACAGGGGAGCAGAACTGAATTACACACACACACACACACACACACACACACAGACTGCCTGATTAATTTGATTAATCTGCTGCTGTAAAAACTGTCACAGAGCATCAATAGTTTCCTGGAGGCCAGAGAGGAGACGTCAACCACAGAGTGTCTGTATATAGATGTGACTTCCTGTGCAGTTTAAATAAAACAGTCATTCCTCTCTCTCCTTCTCTCTCTCTCACACACACACTCACGGACACGGACACACACACACACGCTCACACCGCAGCTTCATTGTTTTGTTCTGGTCCATTGTCTAAACGTCAGCTGTTTTTAATCTGAAACCAACATTAACTGATTAAAGGCCGGGACAAAGAGTCTTTGTCTCAGTTCTGACTTTCACTGATAGGATTTAGAACGTTCGACATCAGACGCTGTCTCCACACTTATCAGCCAGGACACCGTCTCCCTCACACACACACACACACACACACACACAGAGATAATGGTGAAATACTGTGCTTGTCATTCCATCCACAACTCATTTACTGCAAAACTGATCCATCGTCCGTCTGTGAGTCTTTATCTTTGCTGTTTGGATGAGGTTGACGACACTGGAATCGCGACACTTCTCGGCATCACATAGAAAACGATGATCAGCTGACGTCATTCTGATTCAGTCCTCCACATTCTGTCATCAGGAAACAGACATTTATTTACACGTTCAACTGAAGAAAAAAATAATTCTGCCATTTTTCTCACCTGCAGTTCAAACGACAACTACGGCAAAAACTGACGCGCTTCCAATTTGCTTTTTAATAAACCCCCTCCTGCCTCCCGTGTTATACAAACATGACCAGAGGCTGCCAACAGCTCCAGATAACACACACGACAACAGACGTGCAAACAATCACGGCTAATCACTTTGGGTTGATTAGAGAGAGAGAGAGAAAAAGCACTGAGAGGTCAAAGGTCAAATCCTGTTTTTCTCCTCCACAGTCAGTCTTCTACACACATTCAAGGATTTCCAGTGAATAAATGAAAGCAGCGAGACTGTTGACGGTCGACTGCTCATCCCTGTGGTTACAGCTGGAGCTACAGTCTGAGGACAACACCCTGACAAATCACCACCTGTCACCGTCAACACCACCAAACACCAAACAGATCTTCACCAGGGTCGACGCACAACCAGCAGCCCGGTGTGCTTCCTAATGAAGTTCTGGTCATTAAAATACAGACGAAAACTTACTGAAGAAACAAATTCACAAAAAAGTTTCCCTGAAAGTTCGGTGGAAAATAAATCTATGCTGAAGGCAATAAAAAAGTAGAAAAAACAGCTAAAGGTTAGCCTACAAAACATCTCACCAGATGAAACACAATCCATTACATGTCCACACCTTCAACAGCTGAAAAAAACCCAAACATTTTTATTCCACGTTGGAATTTTACACTTAGTCACAACCACAGCTGCAGAATTTTAAAACATGGCTTTCATTATTTCATTATTTCATGCAGTAAAAAACCAATCATTTGTATCCCTTCATTTTTTTTCCTTCAATTTCTTTTTGTGCTTTTTCTCTGAAACTTCAAATTAAGTTGTATATTTGAGGAATCGGCAAGAGATGAACTCAAATTTGGACTTCGGCTGAGTCGTGTTTTTTTTCCCCGAGTCACGTTTACCTTTCCTGATTCGTGTTCACGTCTCCCGAGTCGTGTTTACTGAAAGAATAAGTAAAAGTAAAAGTAAGAAATGTCCTACTCCCAGTAACGGTACCATGGAACTGTCCAAGCTCCATCGTAGTCTGTTCAGTCACCACAGACAGTGTAGTGTGTTTTTGGCAGCTTCAAATAGAAGCAGTGAACCTTTGTTGGTCCGGTCAGGACCGGACCAACAAAGTCCCGATCCACTGGTCAAAAACCTCTGGACATTTAGCGGTTCTGCTGGATGACTGAGTTTTGGTCCCTTTTCACCGTTTGATGGTCCGCTTTACTTTGTTGCCCGTGTTCAGTTTTCTACTGTTACCGGGCCGTGACCATCCAGAGACCCAGAGCCACGTTGGCAGCGAGCAGAGCACTGCCCCCCAGCAGTAGGAAGAAACCAATCATCTCACGTCTCTGAGGGTCCGAAACCACCGACGCTAGCGTAGCCTCGAGGAGAGCGTTCACTTCTCACCCCCTCCTGCCTCCTGTGTTATACAAACATGACCAGAGGCTGCCAACAGCTCCAGATAACACACACGACAACAGACGTGCAAACAATCACGGCTAATCACTTTGGGTTGATTAGAGAGAGAGAGAGAAAAAGCACTGAGAGGTCAAAGGTCAAATCCTGTTTTTCTCCTCCACAGTCAGTCTTCTACACACATTCAAGGATTTCCAGTGAATAAATGAAAGCAGCGAGACTGTTGACGGTCGACTGCTCATCCCTGTGGTTACAGCTGGAGCTACAGTCTGAGGACAACACCCTGACAAATCACCACCTGTCACCGTCAACACCACCAAACACCAAACAGATCTTCACCAGGGTCGACGCACAACCAGCAGCCCGGTGTGCTTCCTAATGAAGTTCTGGTCATTAAAATACAGACGAAAACTTACTGAAGAAACAAATTCACAAAAAAGTTTCCCTGAAAGTTCGGTGGAAAATAAATCTATGCTGAAGGCAATAAAAAAGTAGAAAAAACAGCTAAAGGTTAGCCTACAAAACATCTCACCAGATGAAACACAATCCATTACATGTCCACACCTTCAACAGCTGAAAAAAACCCAAACATTTTTATTCCACGTTGGAATTTTACACTTAGTCACAACCACAGCTGCAGAATTTTAAAACATGGCTTTCATTATTTCATTATTTCATGCAGTAAAAAACCAATCATTTGTATCCCTTCATTTTTTTTCCTTCAATTTCTTTTTGTGCTTTTTCTCTGAAACTTCAAATTAAGTTGTATATTTGAGGAATCGGCAAGAGATGAACTCAAATTTGGACTTCGGCTGAGTCGTGTTTTTTTTCCCCGAGTCACGTTTACCTTTCCTGATTCGTGTTCACGTCTCCCGAGTCGTGTTTACTGAAAGAATAAGTAAAAGTAAAAGTAAGAAATGTCCTACTCCCAGTAACGGTACCATGGAACTGTCCAAGCTCCATCGTAGTCTGTTCAGTCACCACAGACAGTGTAGTGTGTTTTTGGCAGCGTCAAATAGAAGCAGTGAACCTTTGTTGGTCCGGTCAGGACCGGACCAACAAAGTCCCGATCCACTGGTCAAAAACCTCTGGACATTTAGCGGTTCTGCTGGATGACTGAGTTTTGGTCCCTTTTCACCGTTTGATGGTCCGCTTTACTTTGTTGCCCGTGTTCAGTTTTCTACTGTTACCGGGCCGTGACCATCCACAGACCCAGAGCCACGTTGGCAGCGAGCAGAGCACTGCCCCCCAGCAGTAGGAAGAAACCAATCATCTCACGTCTCTGAGGGTCCGAAACCACCGACGCTAGCGTAGCCTCGAGGAGAGCGTTCAGGATCCACTGACCATCCAGAGCAAAACATGGAACCGAGTTGACGACGGCCAGGGCTCCGGACAGCGACAGCAGGTACCTGAGGTGGAGGGGGCTAAGGAACAGCACACACAAAAAAAAACAAAAAACCTGGTCTGGACTTTAACTTAAAAACCACAGATTCACCCAAAACCTGCTGCTGCTGAAGGATACTTGCAAAACGTCTCCAAAAAGACGGGCAGGTCCAGGTGAAGGAAACTGAAGCGAGGAACAAAGTTCGTCAAACTCACTGGAAAAAAATAAAAACAGGATCAGTTTTTAATCAAAAATTATAAACAAATTTTAAAGCTAACATTCAGCTTTTCCAAAGCTATTTTTTTAAATTATCGTTATTGTTGAATGAATTATAAAAGGCTAATTTTTTTTTAGCTTTTTCTCAGCTGTGTTTTCCTGAAACTTGGAGCAGGAGGAGCAGAGACCGAGTTTGTTTCTGCTCCTCCTCAGTAAACATCAGCTCCACTGCTGTAAACAGTCATTAAAGGAATATTACACATAATAGGTGATGACTCACTCAGCACAACTGCAGGGCTTTAACAGACAAACACACACACACACACGTACCAGCGTACTGCAGGTGTGGGGGGTAGCCCACAAACAGCATGTGGGTGTGAGGCGGGTGTGCGACCCTGATGAAGCGCGTCTGGTTCTCCAGTGACGGAGTCACACACACGCTGGACTGATGCTCAGAGTCAGAGACGCAGTCGTCGTCGGTACTGCACAAACGCGACCCTGACACCATCTTACGGACGGGCAGACAGGAGTACTGCAGAGGGGATGAAATCAAAGTTTGACCCACGTGTGTAAGTGGGTTGTTGTGTGTCTTTTGTGCTGATGATGTTTGATGTTCTTTGAGGAACCAAAGGTTCTGCGTTGGCTCTCCTCCACTAATCTTGAAGTAAAAAATTCCAGTTCCCAGACAGTTTTATTATCTGTCCAATGTTCCTTTCATGTGGTTTGTCTAAAGAGCTATGGATTTATCTGACAGAACCTGGAGGACTGTGTGTGTGTGTCTGACCTCTCTGCCTCCACCGCTCTGGTCTGGGCTGTAGTAGAAACACAGGTCAGTCAGACTCTTGTTGCTACAACAGTCCATGCTTCCATCCAGACGCTTGAAAGCTGCAACAGAAACAGAGATATGAACTGGTGAAACACACAACCACAGACACGGAGACAAACACGCACACACACACGGAGACAAACACGCACACACACGGAGACATTAGGTTAGACTGTTTACATGACTCACTAAAGTGCTGTTTTATTAAATTTAAAGATAAGGGAGATGAAAACAGACATAAATACACAAACGATCACACAAACAAACAAACACACACACCCGTAATTGCGTTTCTCATTCTTAGGATTTGATTTTAAATTTTTCTTTATTCACATTAGATTTTAAGCCTTGGTTTCTACACAAATACAACTCTTATTTTGAAAGATTTTTTTAGAATTATTTATTTTTATTAATATTTATTCTTATCTGCTCTACATGGCCATGTTCACCTTTATAGGTTTCTAAAATGTTTAGGTTAAAGATGAAGATCTTTCATGTGAACCTGAACCAAACGTAACGTTTTTTTATGACCACACTTTTATTTTTGGTGTCTGTCTGTGTGTGTGCGTGTGTAGACTGACGTCGTCCGTGGGCCCAGCTGGGCTGTAGACTGGCCCGAGGGACACAGTATCCAGTCTGTGGGTTGTGGGACAGATGTGACAAACAGCTGCTCCAGTCGCTGACTCCTCTGATTGGACAATCCTCCAGTGATGTCACCAGGTCTCCAACTGCAAGACCACGAGGGCCGTCTGCTGCTGAGCCCTGATTTAAAAAACAAAAATATTAAAATCTGTCACTGATTGGATTTCTCACCAGTAGGAAATAAATAATGAATTAAATTATTAGGACTATGGATGTGCTGGACTCACCTGCACCACATCAATGACCAGAGCGCCCCCTCCTGTGGAGTAAACAGGAAACAGGAGAACAGGCAACAGGAAGAGCAGGAGCAACGCTGCCACACACAGGACAAAGTTGTGCCAGACGCCTGAGGAGACAGGTTCAATGAATTAATTCCAACATCAGCGTCATTCATTCGTGTGTGTTTCAGAGTATGCGAGTGCGCCCCCTACCTGCACAGAAGATGCGCAGCTGCTGCGTGGGAGAGATGAGGTTGAGATGAGACGTGAACAGATCCACAAAGGCACCGGGATAAACCACGAACACAAACAGGCCAAAACCATTTACCCGAACCTGCTCCCTGTGAACGGAAGAGGAAAACGCTGTTCATAAACACTGCAACAGGGGTCAGAGGTCAGGGCTTCTTCACATTAACTCTGGTGGTTCTAACAGAGCCCATCAGTACCAGCTGTACTGCTGCCTTGGTCTCTAAGGTGATTTGTCAAAGCCTTACCTCAGTGCTGCCACCGCGTGGCCAAGTTCATGTATAATCCCACTGAGCAGCAGAGCCAGGAAGAAGTAGCCCAGCTGGTTGGTGGGCAGGTTAACGCCAGGAACCTGAAGAGGTAGAAGGTCAAAGATCAGGTAGACGTCATTAAAGTCTGTTTTTATTCTTTCCATACAAATTTAAGACGTGACATATTTGACGTTGTCCAGTCTGGACTTTGGCTCCACATGTTTAGACCTCAGTGATGAGACATGAGCCATGGACAGGATGATGAAAAAAGCGAGTCCTCTACCAAGGCCGAGCCCTTCAGCCCTGAAAGGGTGTCATTCTGTAGCTCAGCTGTAGGGGTCAGTACAGATCTAGAGCTACTTACCACCACCTGCAGAGCCTGCTGTCCTCCTGCACCTGGGTTGTTGGTGGTCATCTGAGTGATGGTCTGCTGAAGAGTCCTGATCAACAAAACCACGGAGCCCAACATGGACACCACTCCAAACACCAGACCACTGGTGAACCTGGGGGGAAATGACGGGAGGGGGGAGAGGGGGATGGGGGGGACAGCAACATTAGCAACACAGAAGCAGCAGCAGTGACAGCAACACTGAATGGGTGAATTAATAACAGAACAGACGTTCTCACAGATGTTCTCACAGATGTTCTCACCACACATAAAGAGCTCCAGGCCTGATGCGAGCACAGTAGGAGAAGAGTCCATTGAACATGGTCGTCTGCCAGCGCAGGTGGAACGGAGACAGGGAGAGTCCTCGACTGGACAGCCATGATTGGTAGCTGATCCTGTGACTGACTGAAGACTAAAGGGAGGACACAGTGATTTGATTCAATTGTTCCTGGTAAAGATTATGACCTGTACTGGTAGAACCATATATATAACAAAAGTCCCAAATGTGTACTTCAGGTTCTTCTAAGTGGAGCAGAAATAGTTTTGTATTTCTCAGCTTCAAAAACAGTAGCATTTGTATTTTTCTTTATCATAAATGTTATTTAATGTCCCTTTAAAAATATCAACTGCTTTATTTGACATATATTTTGTATTTTCTTTTAGTTACACTTTAAATAGTTGAACAGAAGATGCAACGTAGGCGACCGGTTGAACTGAATGCACGTTTGTAAATTATAGCTCTTTGTTGTGTTGTTACTGTTTATTAAGCCCATAAACGCCGTTCGGCTACAATAGTGTAATCTTAATTACAGCACGTAACACAGAATCACGGGGTTTACCCTGAGGATGGTGTCAGTCAGATACACCGCGGACCAAGCGACCATGACAAACACCAGCACCGACACCGGAATCATAGCGACTCTTATCGGGGAACTTCTTCGCTCTCTGCCGCCTTCATCACGCGGTCTTCGCGCTGATATTCTCTCTGTGGACCCCCGAAGCACCGGGACTCTTTTCGACAGCAGACACTCTCCAAAAAATCTTACCAAAGATGATGAAATATGACGAAAACGAAATGAAATGAAAGAAAATAAAGATTTCCGGGTTACTTCCGTCTTCTCTTCTTCGTTTGAGTAGGATTTCAGATACACATAAGTGCTGCGCCCCCTGTTGACAAAAACTGGAAGCGACTTAAAAAAACTATGAAATATTTGAAATAAACGATTAAATATTTTTCATTATTGTTGTTCTTTGACATGTTTGTGTTTCCTGTGAAGGTAAAACTACATCGACGGAAAAAATCACACGAAACCTCAATATTTTTCTGCATTCCGACTTTATGTTTTTTTTATTATTGCCTCAATCTTAGCCTTAATCTGAAACAACTGGATATACTACAGGCGCCACCAAGTGGCCATACTGAAGGATATAGAGTTTCCTAATAAATTATTAAATAATAAAATCACTAGAAGGGAAATCTGCTAAATTCATCCGCTTTGCCATAAAAACAGAACCAGTGTCAATCCAGAGAACAGCATTAGAAATGGCCATCAATTTTAAATGTAACTTCCAGGCTGAACCTCAGGTGGTGTGAGAGTGTTTTCTGTATTTGCATATGTTGATTCATGAAACAACAGCTCAGTTGTCAGGTCTTCATTTTCAATTTCCGACTTTGAGGGCAGAACGTCAGCGTTGTACCTCTGGTCTCTGCGGTTCAGACGGTGGGACAGGGTCAGAGTCGGGGTCAGACTCAGGGTCAGGAAGGGAAGGGAGTAAAAAGTAATGTTCTTGTGAGTGAGTCCAGGTCAGGTTCCACTCAGGGAGGGGGTTCTTCTCTGTCTGTAAACCAATCAGCTGCAGCGGAAACGGGTCAGGTAGAAGAACAGGAGGTGAGACCAACTGAGGACGAGGGACAGAGACAGAGAGTGAGAGAGAGAGAGGCAGGAGCCACCAGGAGGTAAGATAACACACACTCACACACACACACACACACAGTTAAACCAACATACACTATTAATACTGAGGACAGAGACAGAGGGACAGAGAGAGGACACAGAGACGTAAGACAACAAACAACAAACAACAAACATTTACAAACAAACACATCCATGTTGTACTGCAGCAGGACTTTCTTTAGATACAGACGTCACTACCTTTGCTGAGTCTGAGTGTGTGTATGTCAGAGTAAAAGTAGGACAGCTCCATTTTTGTCCCTAACGTAAGAAGCAGAGTTTTGACAAGTGTGTGTGTGTGTGAGAGAGAGAGAGAGAGAGAGAGAGAGAGATGTAGATGCTGTGACGGTGTAAATGTTCACTTTTTCAAATACATTTTGTTCATCAGAAACTAATTTGTACTGAACGTCTCCAATCATCAATAAAAAATTAATTTCTGTTTTTTTAATCAGTTATCATTTTATTTTCGGTTTAATCACCAAAATTAAAAAACAAATGCTCACTTTATCTGAATCACAAACACATTATTGTCACCTGTACATGGAATAATCCAGTTTAATCCAGAAATGTGATTTTCTAACAACCACCTATTATGAAGGTGTCGTGAACACAGTCACAGCCTTTATGTTTTAATCCCATAAATAAACATAAACGTGTCACTTCATTTTGAGGATTATGACTGCCTCAGTCCTGTGACGGTGAACAGTTGTTTGTTTTTTTTAATTATTATTAATTTATATTATTTTTATTACATGGATTTGTACAGGATGTTGAGTTTGATTTCCACAATTAAAACAAATCATATTAACTGACTAAGATTTGATCATCATCCGTTTAAAACATTGAGTTTTAAACTTCATCTTCTGTCTGAAAGATGTTCCTGCGTGTGTGTGTGTGTGTGTGTGCGTGTGAGTGGATAGAAAGCAGGTCCATTGGCTGTATCATCTATTTATAGTAAGAACAAATCCCAGATATGAGGAGAATCTGAGGGTGTGGGGCAGTGAGAGAGAGAGAGAGAGAGAGAGAGAGGGAGGGAGACAGAGAGGGAGACAGCCTGAGGGGGGGAGTGTGTGACGGAACCAAAGGTTTTCAGTTCAGCTCAGAGTCACTTTGTCTTAGAGACCTTAGAGGCAGTGTCGTCAACAGGTGAGTTTTTATTTCTCTGTCAAACTCCTGTTTGTGACGATCCTCTGCTCCCAGACAGCAGGTGTCGCTCTAACTCTGTAGAACATACAGTAGGTTAATGACCATAACATGTCGTAGCCAGCGGTGTGGTGCCTGCTGGTAACGAACATCACTGGCCTGATGATGGCGGTGAAGGCACCGGTGGGACAACACTGCGTGGTTCTTATTGGATCATCCAGCTGTCAATCACACAGTCATGTTCTCTGTCCATGGTCTACCGTCCCTCTGTCTGTCAACGTGACCAACACTGACGTCGACTGACGTTGACCTGAGAAAAACATGGAAACCAAGGAAGATTCTGGAAAAAAAAAGTACTGATGATAAAGATGATCAGTAAAGATAATCTTGTTACTCTGGTCTAGTTATTCCAGTTAGCATACTGGAGTCGCTGTCTGGTCTGGTTAGTCTAATAAGTCAAGTTGTCTATTCTAGTAAATCTAGTCCAGTTATCCCAGTTAATCCATTTAGTCTGGTTTAGTCAAGCCTAGTTAGTCTTCCTAGTCTTGCTTAGTTAGTCACATGTACAGTAATTAGTAGGGATGTCCGATATTAACTTTTGTTCAAACATTTAATTTCCGATTCCGATACCGATATAGGCCTGGTAATATTTATTTATTTATCTGTACAAACCACTGTATGAGTACGAGATTAATTATATGAGCTGCAATGCTGCCACCTAGTGACTTTCACTTTAATATACAGCTGTTTATCCCCAAAACTAGTTTTAGGACACATATTATCTGGCCAAACCCAGGCATCGGGTTATCGGGTTTTCATTATCAGTTAGTCTACCTAGCTTAGTCAAGCTAGTGCAGCTGGTCTAGTAAGAGTAAGTAGTTATTGTTCCATTTGGTCTCATTAGTCCAGAATGCCCCAGGTTTTATTAATGAATTATTATTTCCTACGCAGACGATGACATGATGTTTGTTGAGCTACAGAACGCCCGCTCTCACACCTTTACTTCATCATTTTCTTCAAGTTTGTGTCGACTGAGTGACAGTGAAACTGTCTGCAGGGACGAGAGCAGCTGCTGTAGATGGAGCCCCCCCCCCACACACACACACACACACTCTCTCTCTCTTGCCCTCTCTCTCTCTCTCTCTGTCCATGTCCAGGCATTTCCTCTGAGGGAATGTTGTTGTGGTTACAGCCTGACAACGCCGTGTGTTAGATTTAAAACTCTGGGCTGTGGAAACTTTCCCAGTCTGTGGACCAACGACAACTGACACGAAGTCTGAAGTCAACAACTGGATGGAAGTTGAGCTTAAAGTTTTAACATTCCCATATTTGGGAATTGTCAGGTATGAACGGCGTGTGGTCACAATAGATTTATTAATGAAAATTTGAAAATTAGGGTTGTCCAATAATATCGGCCCGATATTAGCGTAATTGTGTAGTATCTGTAAGAATCGTTATCGTTATTTTTTTTTCTCCGATTATGAAAACCCAACAAAGCAATGCCTGGGTTTTGTCAAATGATGTGTGTCCTCAAAATAGTTTTGGGGGAAAACAGCCGTATATGAAAGTAAAAGACACTAGATGGCAGCATAGCAGCTCATTTAATTAATCAATTTTAATAATCAGGGGATTTTGTGCAGAATGTTGGTGGCAGCAACTCATACAGTGGTTTGAACAAATCAACAAATAAATATTACCAGGTCTATATCGGTATCGGCCGATATCAGAATCGGGAATTGTTAGGAAATGTTTGGACAATATTGCCATACGTCATATGTGACGACTGTTTGAGGAGTCGTTCTTCATTCCCGTTCTTCAGTCACTGCTGCTGAAACTGATCCACAAATGAACCTTTATTTGATTGGTCTTCGTTTCTCATGAAAGATTCAGAGTTCGTCTCTGAGAGTTTCTAAGCAACAGAAACACTACACCGGGAGCTGCTTTACTCTAATGGACACACACACACACACACACATCTTTTTTTTTTGCAGGTCAGTGAACTCAGCAGAGGTCATGTCCAAACCCTCATCTAACGTCAAAGCCCTTCAGGTAAAACACCAGAATAGAATATATTAGAATAGAATGTAACATGATAGAATCATCTTTACAGGAAAACTGTCAAACACTGTTTGTGTCTGTGGAATACGTTTTTCCCACGTTCTGTTTCAACACCTGAATGTCACAGAGGTTACAAAGGGACCTGACCTCTGGGTCACAACAAACGTCCAGAGGTTACAAAGGGACCTGACCTCTGTGTCACAACAAACGTCTTTAGCTGCATACCGCCACCTACTGTACCAGAGTGTGTCAAATAGAATATAAAAATAATTTTGTTTTTTGACTAAAGAAAAAATAGTTACTGTTTGAGAAAAATAAAACCTGTCTTAGTTCAGTCTGTGGCTCAGTCTGTGGCTCAGTCTGTGGCTCAGTCAGTTAGTGTTTATCTGTACAGTCCCATCACAAACACAGGTGTGACTCACAACAGGGAAAGTTCCGTTTTTACAACAGTGGAAACATTCTATGATTCCTGTCTGTCCTTCAGGCTAATTTGAATATTCCAATGGGAGCGCTGCGTCCAGGGGCTGGACATCCTGTTAGAAGGAGGGAGGAGACTGCGGACGCTGAAGAGGTGAGAACACACACACACACACAGGTATAGTGTGTGTCTGTTTGTTGCCATGTTCACGCGTATGTCTGGTCCACAGGCTGCCGTAGACCAGTCCAGCTCTGAAGCTCAGACACCAGAGGAGAAGAAGAAAGCTCCGCCCTCCTCGGTCAAACTTCCTGTCGTTCATCCGTCTGAGTTACAGAACGTGAAGAGTGAACTTCGATGGGTCACCAAGGATTAACACACAGGTCAAGCTGCAGTGTCTGTCAGTAACAACTGCATCAGCGTCGTGGCCCACATTCAATCAGACTGGTCCACATGTGGGCTGTGACCTTTACCTTGAACCCACACAGGCTCTTCTCTGGGACTGACTTTAATTCTGCATCTAAAACTAACAACACTTTCTTCTGCTTCTGCTGCAGGATCTGGTGAAACAGAAGCAAATCGTCGACATAGATTCAAACCAATAGACTAGAAACTAAATCCAGAAATGCTCAGAAACACAGACATCTGAAGAAGACGACGAAGACGAAGACAATGACGACGAAGAAGATGATAAAGACGGGGAAGAAGTCTCTCTTCATCCACATTGAAACAGTGACCAAAGTTCTGTTAGTTTTGTTGTTTCTGCTGCATCTCTCTCTCTCTCTCTCTCTCTCTCTATCACACACACACACACACACACCTACTGAACCTTCTCCACTGTGTGAATTCTATCTAATGTTCTGTTTAAGGTAGAGTGCATGTGGGTTCTTTTGTAAAAGCTCTGACAGAAAAGATTTAAAAATAAAAAAACGATTGTTTGTTAAAGATGTTGTTTAACTATTTTACAGTTCAGTCTGTATTGTTTTGTTTTGTTTTTTCTATCAGCAAACAAGCTGCAGCCAAAAATCAACACAAAAGTGGATTTTACTACTAAATAATTAAACAAATAAATATATTTAGGACGGACGCCCGGTCGTCACGAGTCAACGAAGAAAAACAGTTCAGTTCTGATCCATTCAATATGTGCTAGCACTAAAGCACTAGGTGTTACTTAACTTGCTAGTTGTTGATGCTACTGTAGCTAGCCACGAAATCATGACCTGATTCGCAAATTTACCGCCGTTAAATTCACGCTTCCAGAGAAAAACCAGGAACTAGTCAAAACATTGTTGTTTTATTTATTTATTTTTTTTTGGCGACAAGATTTTTATCAACAGGATTCGATTTAAATAAACCTACACACACACACGACAGCAGCCCAGTTGCTACACCGGCGTTACTTCAGATCCATCATCACACTACATGTACACATGTACACACACACACACACACCCACACACACACACAGAGCAGCTGTGCCTAAGTTTAGCCTGGAGTCACAGTGGAATATTTTGCTGCTGCTGTGTTAAAAACTGGGCTCCAGGACCTGACATTGTGTGGACAGGATTGAACACACACACCTACACACACACACACTTCCACACACATAAGCTGTGTGAACTTTAAACACAGGTGGATTTCAGTGTGAGGCAGTTTCTATTCAGAGATGATGACCACGGCGGTGTGACCATCAGGCGGTCGAGTTGTTGAACTCAACACAACATCTTCATCATCAGATTCAGAACTCTCCTCGTCAGCTTTGAACTAAAACGGTCTGAACACAAAACAGATTAAAAAACGATTCAGGTCTTTTTATCTCAAGTCGGAGGAAAGAAAAACTCCGGACCAAATCGATCAAACCAGTTTTAAAAACGTATTGTCTGAACCTGGAGTCTTAGGTTCAGATGAACAAGAACAAACGTTTTAAACTAATAAAAAACCCAGAATAAATCTGTCCCATCTGGGGGCCCCACCCCAGGCTTTGAGTCACTGAAGCCAACAGTAATCACAGGGGACCTGAGAATAACAACATGATCAGGATCAGTCTGTGAAGTGGGTCACGATCAAATTAAATCCTTTTCAAAAGGACTGGATTAACACTGGCACCAGTGGAGCCCATGTGGGCTACTGAGGGCTGCTGTGGGCTACTGAGGGCTACTGAGGGCTACTGAGGGCTACTGTGGACTACTGTGGGCTACTGTGGGCTGCTGTGGACTACTGTGGGCTGCTGTGGGCTGCTGTGGGCTACTGTGGGCTACTGTGGACTACTGTGGGCTACTGTGGGCTGCTGTGGGCTGCTGTGGGCTGCTGTGGGCTGCTGTGGGCTACTGTGGGCTACTGTGGGCTGCTGTGGACTACTGTGGGCTGCTGTGGGCTGCTGTGGGCTGCTGTGGGCTACTGTGGACTACTGTGGACTACTGTGGGCTACTGAGGGCTACTGTGGACTACTGTGGGCTACTGAGGGCTACTGTGGACTACTGTGGACTACTGTGGGCTACTGTGGGCTGCTGTGGGCTGCTGTGGGCTACTGTGGGCTACTGTGGACTACTGTGGGCTACTGAGGGCTACTGTGGACTACTGTGGACTACTGTGGACTACTGTGGACTACTGTGGGCTACTGTGGGCTGCTGTGGACTACTGTGGGCTGCTGTGGGCTGCTGTGGGCTGCTGTGGGCTGCTGTGGGCTACTGTGGGCTACCGTTCAACTCCAAACAACAACACTGAGGAGAGCGCTCTCATCGAGCCCAGTTATGATCGGTTCTATTTTTGTCCTCAGATTAGAGCCGTGGTCACTGCAGTCCAGAGTCCTGGTCCAGGTCTTCAGTCATGAGCTTATCTGTCAAATCACCACTGACACCGTTCACTGGTCCGGCCAACTCCTGGTTGGCTGATTGTTCACCCCAGTGTTGGTGTAAAGGTCAGCAGACAAAATGCTGCTCCAACAGATATGGGTTTCACAGTATACGGGGAGAGAGACTTTGGGGCGGACCACACCGAGGGGACAACATGGGGGGGGGGGCAGACCACACCGAGGGGACAGCATGGGGGGCGGACCACACTGAGGGGACAGCATGGGGGAGCGGTCATGATTGGCTGTTATTAAGCTTCCTATCAGGGTGTCGGGTTCTGACGGCAGCAGACGGGTCCTCATCCGTCCGCAGAGGATGGACGGACCAGACCACGGAGCGGTGCAGGACTCCTGTCTCATTTCTGGCGTCTATTTGACTTCAGATGTTGACCGTTTGTCCAGCAGCATCTTCTTCTCCGCCGCTGTCACCGCTCACTTCCTCTCACATTCCACTCGTCTTTTTTTAGCCCACCGTTCCTGCAGCTAAAATCTGCTCTTTTATCTCTTATGGATGGACAGCTTCTCAGTGCTCTACAGTTCCACCTACAGAACCGGACTCTTGTCCGGGTTCCAGCGTCTGCGGCTGGAGAACAGGATGTGTGATGTGGTCCTGGAGGCGGGAGGCGTCTCCTTCCCTTGTCATCGGGCCCTTTTGGCAAGTTCCAGTGAGTATTTCTGGGCGTTGTTTGGTGAGACGACAGCAGAGAGGTCGGCCGGATCGGTCAGCCTGCCGCTGCTGACAGCTGAGGGTATGGACGCCCTTCTGGACTTCCTGTACTCTGGCTGGCTCAGTGTCTCCTCCTCCAGTCTGTCTGCGGTTCTGCAGGCAGCCAGGTACCTGCAGGTGGCACCGGCAGTGGCCATTTGCGAACGGTTTATGGTCGACGGCCTAAACGCTGAGAACTGCTGCTGTTACGCTAACCTCGCCGAGCACTACACGCTGACGAATGTTCTGGAAGCTTCGCACCAAACAATATCTGCGGAGATGAAGATGTTAGTGCAGACCAACAGGGACGACCTTCTTCAGCTGAACTTCCGATCGCTGATGCAAATTCTGGACATGATGGAGATTCCAGGTGTCCAGGAGGTGGAGCTAGTGAAACTGGCTCTGGATTGGCTGGATGAAAATGGACCACTCCCACTGGTAAACTCAAATCTCCTGCTGAGTCGTTTGCGATTCGGATTGGTCAGTGCGTCTGATATCGTGAGCCTGAATCACAGAGCCCTGGCCACGCCCCTGATTAGAGGTCAGCTGACACAGGCATTGGCGTACCACACCACGGGTTCAGCTCAGCCAATCAGTCAGAGCCGTCTGTCCACGCTCAGGGCGTTTTCCAATCGTGTGCTGCTGGTAGGCGGGGCTTCCAGTGGTGAGGGCCCAGAGCGGCAGATGTTGGCGTTCGATCCCAGATGTAAGAAGTTCTGGTTCCTGAAGTCCAGACTCCCACTCAGACTCAGGGACTACAGCGTGTGCTCGGTGGGCGGTTTCCTGTTTGTGATGGGAGGACAGAAAGTGAGGGACGGAGATGAAGACGGATTGAAATCTGACACTTCACCAGCATCCAATCAGGTGTGGCGGTTCGATCCTCGTTTTGACAGCTGGCAGCAGGTGGCGTCTATGCTGGAGAGGAGGTCCAAGTTTAGTTGCTGCGTAATGGATGACATCATTTATGCCACAGGGGGGCGACACACTGGGCTGGACACCGAGGCACGCGCTTCTGTCGCATCGGTGGAGTTTTACGACCTAGCCATAGGAGCCTGGAGGAGGGGCGCCTCCATGCCCCGCCCTCTGTACGGCCACGCCTCCGCTGTACTGAACGACTGCATCTACGTGTCAGGAGGTCGAAGCGCACACACACCCACCGTTAACGCCGGCAACTACAACAGTAACCAGGACGGACCTAGAGAGGGCAGCAAAGAGGTTTTCTGCTGGAAACTTCAATCCAGAGTTTGGGAAAAACGAACGTCCATGTCCATCGGACGGTTCAGCCACCGTTTGGCGACCGCTCACGGATACATCTACGCTCTGTTGGGAATGTACGAACCTTTCTGTGACATAGAGCGCTACGACCCACAGGCGGACCAGTGGACACGCCTCCGACCGGTTCCCATTGGCTCTTTCAACTACGGCATGGTCTCACTGCCATCTGGGAAACTGCTGCTGTTTGGAGGAAGACGGTGGAGTGACGGACAGGAAGTGATCCTGAAGAGTGTTCTGGAATATGACACAATGAAAGACTGCTGGAAAGAAGTCTGTGAACTGCCTAGACCTCTGATGGGCACTGAGTGCTCTTTACTGCCCCTGATGGACTGATGTGATCACTGTTCAGATGAATGACATTGGATCTGATTTTGTTTGAGTGTTGATGTGACTGGATTCACTCTCCATGTTTGTTGTTTATGGTTGGACAAAGTATTAGCTTAGAGCTAAGAATGGAGAGGAATAGAGTTAAATGTCTGGGTGTGTGTCTGTATTAATATTAATTTAATCCTTACTTTTTTTATTCAAAAATGTCTGTATTAATATTAATTTAATCCTTGCTTTTTGTATTAAAAAAAAACTCAATGTTAATTACCTGAGGTGAAATTAAATTCTTAGTCACTGTTTCATTAGCTGCTGTTACGATTTCGTTTACAACAAAAACGATCAGACATCGAACTAAGAAAAGACTGTGCGTGGACGCCATGTTTTCAGAGGTTATAAACAGTACATGCCACGTTAGCAGCGTTTTAACTGTGCGCTAGCAGCTAGGCTAGTCAGTGGCGTAATAGCAGTGCTAATAGGTTAATATGTAGTGGAATGTTAGTAACACTAGTACACAGCATATCAGATGTAGGTTGACAGTGCTACCAGGAGATGGCAGTACTGCACCTCACACACACACAGAGAGAGAGAGAGAGAGAGAGAGAAAGAGAGGAGACGGAACACCTCCACCTGAAGCAGACTTTATTGATCCACAAAGGCAGAAAAATCACAAAAGTACTTGAGAAAAGAGAGAGAAATTAGAGCTTTGACAATAAACAATCAATAATTGGTAATAAATATATCGGTGTGTTGTCAGAAAGAGAGGAGATCACTCAAGACGTGGATGGTTCCTCTTCAGTCTACAGAGAAATATCTAAAGATATACATATATATATATATAGATATATATATAGATCCACAGGTGGCAGCCGTTCAAACCAAGTGTAGTAATGATAATATTAATAAATTCAATGATAATAATAATAGTAATAATGCGTTGCCTTTGTTTTTGTGCTTATTGTCACTTTAGTGCAGCATCTCAGTGTTGATTTAAAAGCAGCACAAAAATAAATACATTCGTATATATATGAGATTTATTAGATCTATAATAAAAATTCTACACAAACACTTTTTTAATTTATATATTCTCTACATTAAATCCGGGACAGAGAGAAGCTGGAATGTCAACCCTGGAAAATCCTTGACCCTGCAGTTTTCTGGTTATTTTTAGGTCTCGTTCGTGTCACTTCTACAGTTGTTTTTTTTTTTTTTTAACTTGTGGTTGTCATGGCGACTGTATTGCAGTACAGGTGTGAGCAGACGAAGATGCTCATTAGAGAGATTTAAACTGAAAACTGGAGAAGAGTGAAAAGAATCAGGATCTTGACTAAGTTAAACTCTGAAGTTCAGATGACCAACAGTAGGGGGAGCCATGAACATCCAGTCCATTTGTTTAAATTAAACAGAGTGGGATCACGCAGCTCTGAGTGAGGAACCTTGACGTCTGTTCTCCGACCTTCTGTCTTCAGTTCAAAGTTATCAAGGAGACGATTTGTGTAAGAAAATCTTAACAACTCTTAACGAACATCGCGCAGGTCGACTCAACGCCCCGCAGAGGTTCAGTCCTAAGGACAACATGGACCATGCTCTAACCATGTTGGTTCTGCAATGCAACAAGGACGACGTACAAGGCTGTGGATGAGGCTCAAGCCGTGGGACACTGTGATCTGCACTGTATCAAGGACAGTTCTACTGGTTCCTATGGTCGAGGGCAGAACTCGTCCGTCTCAGACTCAGCAGCAGAAGATCGACCAATCAGGCGGGTCGACTGACGTAAGGACAAACACATCAGACCAAGTCCACCGCTGACTGACCTCCACCACCGCCGTCCTCGTCCAATAGGACGGCCGTGTGTTTGTGCGCGACACATCAAACGTGAGTCTCGATGTAAGAGTGTGTGTGAGACAGCGACGCCATCGGTACCGGACCAGGTTCTGGTTCAGCGCCGGAGTCCTGAGCCTCCTGAGAGAACAAATCCTGATAGGCTTGTTTCCACACTCGGAACTCTGCCGACGACATCTGAGGCGTGGCCAACAACCTGTCAATCATGGCCAGTTCTCCCTCCCTGTCCTATACAAGGGGCAGAAGCAAGGTTTGGGGGCGGGGCATGGAGGCTCACTTCAGATTTTGTTTTTTGTTTTTTTCAGAACCACAGAGACACGGACCAGGATTAAGACACAAACCAGGAGGAGGACAAAGACAAGGCTACAGCTGGGACCGTAGGCTGGAAGATTTGTGTGTGTGTGTGTGTGTGTGTGTGTGTGTGCGCTCACCTTCAGTGTCGACGTCAGAATCCTAAGTCGGTGCAGTCTGTCATTGAGGTCAGGGTCCGCAGCTTGTTTAAGGAACATCTGCCTGAACTCTGAATGACCTTTGACCTTGGCCCCACAGCCTAAGGGCCAGACTCCGCCCTGCTCACAGGCTCGAAGCATGTCGCCGATGGACGCACCTTCACCGTCAGCTGGAAGAAAGGGACTTTTGAAACGCAACGCCTTGTGTTCACATGCTGGAGCTGCAGCACACACACACACACACACATACACACACATGGGTCTCTGACCAAGAGTGACCGTACCGTTGCGTGCCAGCAGTGAGTGCAAATCCCCATCTCTCGGCAGGGTGAGGCTGCGGGGTTTCCCGCCCTGCGTTGCCATGGGAATCGACCTCTGCATTCCAAAAGGCAACTGGACGTTCCTCTGAGCGGGAAGTGTGTAAACAGCTCCAGTAAACATAGCTCCGCCTCCTGTTGTTAGAGCGCCATCTGCTGGCTCAGGCTCAGCGAAGACAGCATCATCTGTGAGCGACAGAAACCGAAACGTAGCTTCGGGAATCAAACCACCGTCACCTGTCAAGTTTACTGCACAACTGGTTCTGTTGAAGAACGTCGGTACCTAAGGGTCCAGTTTGTAAAAAGTGCAGCCCGGCCTCAGTGAGCGGCGTCTCAATCAGGTCCTGCCAAGAACGTCTCTGAGAAGAAGAAGACCGACCCAGAGACCCAGTCTCACTGCTGCCACCCGCTGGGCTGGAACGGTACTGTGGAAAGAAAACAAGTTCAAGACAAAAATATCAAAACCAATAATGACAATCAAAAAAAAAGATAAAAAATTAACGATGTTTAAAATTTCCTGTTTTCAAAGTTTTTCACACAAACCTCCGCAGCTTCACCTCTGAACTGAACATCGCTGCTGCTGCTTCCACCTGCTTTTCTCCCACTGTGAGTGGTGCCTACTCCTGGTGGAGCAGGCTGGTACTGCGGGTCAGCTGCCGTCAGAAGTGGATCACTACACAGGAAGTCCTCCTGAGACGATCGAGAACGAGACGTCCCAGTGGACGACAAACGAGTGGTCCGTCCTTCCAGGAGTGTGTTGACCTGATGCTGGGAGTAAAAAAAAACACACACCAGGTAAAAACAGTGATGAAACCTGTAGAGAAAATGTTTAGTGCCTGATCTTCACAGACAAAAGACTGCAGTTTTCATTTATTTTTAGGCTAAAATGCCGTATATGTCTGTGTGTATGTCTATGTCTGTGTGTGTGTGTGTGTGTGTGTGTGCTGACTCACTGATGGAGGTTGTGTGTAGGAGTCATACGGAGGCGGAGGACTGCCCTGCTTTGGGCTGGAGCTGGTCGTTTCTTCTTCATGTTCACTTTCGCTCCAGTAATCTGCACAAACACACATTATAGGTCATGTGTTCTGATCAGAACACAGAGAAGTGAGGAGGTGAACCCTCACCCTGGTCCTGTCGCCTCCTGTCAGAAAATCCCACGGCTGCCGTGTTCAGACGACTCAACCATCTGACAGAAAAGGTCACATGTTCGATAACTTCAAAAATAAAAAATAAAAAAAACATCAAAATACAGCCAAAATGTTTTCTGAATATTTGTACCTGTTCATGTCATCAACTCTGTCTGCTGCGAAGTAGAAACTCTTTATCTTTGGATGACAGGCTTTGAAAGCACTGGAGGATCATGGGAAAACAGGAGGGAGGTGATTATTTACACATACTTTGACATCACTTATTATAAACATTTTTTCTTCCTTTTTTTGCACCGATGATCTACTTACTATTTTTTCCTACATTCACTGGCCCGGTCGATTTTAAACTCTGGAAGACTGACAAATCCTTCAGCTTTTTCATCCTGGACACAGAGATAAACACCATTATTCACATATATCTATTTTTAGTTATAGATAGATTGATAGTAAGATGGTGAGACCAGTGTCTGGTTTAACTAATTGAAAAGCCAACCTTCAACGAGTTTACCGTGGGCTGAAACATAAGAAACGTGTGCGTTTGACCGCGGCGGCCATGTTGGTCCAGGAGGTGGCACTCACCTCCTCATTGATGTACCAGTAGAGGCAGTTATCCTTCAGGACAAACCAGTACTTCTTCCACTTCTGACAGAAGTAGCCTTTAGCGTCCCTCTTCCTCCAGAGCCAACCTTCACAGTCGCCCCCGCCCAGAGCCTTACAGGAGACCCGCCTCCGACTCAGCGAGGCCAGCGCCCGTCCTGAAACAACAACAAGTCTTTGAGACTTCCTGGAGGAGGTCTGAACATCCTAACAGCTGCTCACAGCAAAGAATACACCAGAAAAACAATAATTACATTTAACTGAGAAGTGAGTTTATCACTAAATGTTCAGTTTGGGCAAAGAGGGTAAAAAAAAAGTCAGATTAATTCATTAATTATTCATTAATAACAAAAAAGAAATAGCTATAAACTCAGGCATTCTTACATCATTTTTATTTTACTTTTCACAGTAAAAATAAATAATAATAATATAATAATTCATGTTTTGATCACAGCACCCCCCTCCTCCTCCGTCCATGCACCTTCAGCTGCTCCCTCAGACATTAAAAAAACTTCCTGCTCACCTTTGTTCTTCTTCCTGCTCTTCTGCTGCGAGGACGATGATGACGAGGACGACGGCTGGAACGTCTGAGAGAAAAAACAGGGACGAGAGAGAAAACTGTCAGTAGTCATCAGCAGAAAAGAATTATGGGAAATGAGCTGAGAGCTCAGTGAGGTGAGCAGCTGGAACGTCACAGCTCTGTGTCTCAGGTGACCTTCTCCAGAGAATAGAAATCCTTGCCTTTATTGAACTGACTGACACTAGTGTGATGTCACACTCTCTCTGCTGTGATGTCACAGCGTGACATTTAAGAATCTGGCCTTCAGTCAATCACAGCCTTCATGCACCACCACAGTGGACCAGGCTCCACCTAATCCTACAGTGACACCATCTGGCATAACAGCAGCGCAAATAGACACACGTTGCTGAAGTCAGGAAATATTATGTTACACATACATTTATCACAGTGATGGTTTGATCCACACAGTTGACACAGACCATAACTTTGGTCAGTATTAATAATATTTCGTTTCACATATAAAAAAAATACATCATAATATATCAACCTGTGTGACATAATATCATAACATAAAGTAGGAAAAATCCAATGGAAAAAAATTAAATTCCTGTTTTTGAAAGTGTGACATCATCATCATCTTGTTGTAGTAATATTATCATAATATCCCTGACCATGACCTCACACTGTGACGGTCCATCTGTGTCGTGGTCAGAAAGTGAATCACCTGATAAACGGAGGCCGTTTCCCTGTGTGGGGAGTCCCTCTGATTGGTCTGCATCATGTAATGGGAGGGGCTCTGACTGTGGTGGCTCCGCCTCTTGGCTCTTTTGGCGGTTTCTTTGGAGCGTTTACCTGGACGAGCCGTGTGGGAGGAGTAATCTTCAGATCCGGCCCTGTGATCTGTGCCAATGGTTAAACACAAACGTTTTAAACATTTAAATGTTTTAATGTATTCATACACATGATTAAAAACAGATGAAAATACAGCTGTTCGAAAAATTCGCAGACATCAGATTCCCACGCACTAAACACCGTGTCCTGGTTTCATGCAGAACACTGTGAATCCTCTCAGGTCTTTTTTTTTTTTGCCCAACTTTGTGTCTGAACAAATCCAGGTTTTCCTCCACCTCCACGTTCTCTCAATCCTGCCCTCCTCTGGTTGCTAGGCAGCAGCTGGAGGAGAGGAGCTGCTGTCAGCATTGTCATGGAAACTGGGTGAGTGATTCAGGTGGAGTAGGCAGAAGTTTGTTCTGGTTTTTTTTTCCAGATATTTATTTCCAATTCTTTCCCCTCTGTTTATTCATTTATATATTTCCATCATTTTTCATGTTCGACCATGAAGTTGTTGAATGAAGGACCAACACCAGAACTGAACCATCAATTAAGAAAAAAACAGGTCAACAAAAAAAAGAAACAGCACTCACCGCGTCCATGTCTTCTGGGTTTAGTCTGATCCTCGTAATCACCAGCCCAGTTACACTCCACAGGCATGGAGATGGGCCTGAGCCTGCCTACACACACACACACACACACACACACACACTGTTACAGTAGATACATCTATTCACTGTTTTCTCAATTCAGTTTGTGCATTTTTTGAACATTTTCGAGAAACTGACTAAATAAAAAAACTACAGTGATTTCTTTTTAAATCTGGGAACCAAACCCTTGACTCTTTTTGTAATGTTACACTGCTTTTAAGTGAAGGTTTCTCCCACAATTCATCATCATCATCTTCTCCATCCTCATCATGAGATGCAACCATGTACTTAATTGCTGGACAGATCAGGAACTCTAATATATTATTATTATTATCGTTCTTACCATAGGTGGCTGTGTACCCCAGATCCTCCTCTTCCGCCGGTTGTGGATCCTGGTCCAGGAAAGAGTTTGGGGAATCAGAGCGATTCTTAGTGATGCTCATGTTACCGTGGTTACGCAACATTTTGTTTTCCGATGAGGCTCCAGTTTCGCCTCTGTCAAAGGTAGAAGTCAGTAAAAAAAAAAGAAAAATACATAAAATAAAAACTCGAGCTGAAGATCTGGTACCTGGGTGTGTACGGGTCCATGGGTGGAGGAGGGATGTACAGGTCTGGGAGGGCAGAGGTCTTAGTGGGCGTGTCAGTGGGCGTGGCTGAGCTGCTGCCTGGACTTTTGGTTGGCTGCAGAGACACAGTGTGAGAGGTTTTGTGAGGGACATTGATGTCCACCACTGGAGGCACTGTCTGTTCATTTTTCTTGTGTTTATAAAGTCAACCTATCACTGTTTTAACAGCGGTTTTCTTTGGGTCACCTCGGTTAAAACTGGGGCTTATGAAGGCTGATGTGGGCCACAGCAATGTTGGAATTGAGCCTAAAACTAGGAGCCCAGGTGCTAACCTGCAGAGCCAGAGGTTTCCAGCGCAGGTTCTTCAGCAGTGCAGGAGCAGAGCTCAGTGTGCTCTGAGGTCGTTTCTTCAGAGTCAGAGACACGACGCCTTTATCTGCCCGCAGAGAGCCCACCAGGTTACGAAGCTGCCAGCCCACCTACAGGGAGAACCAGGACGTGGGTTGGAAATAGAAAAAAAAAACCCATAATGTTGGCGTTATTTACAAATGTGCCTGCAGTGCCACCTGCTGGTAGGGAGAACTCTTAGCACAGTGAAAAGAGTGTAAAAATGTAGACAAACTGACCACTGTCTGATGATTGACCTGAATGACTTCATCTCCAGCGTGGATCTTCTTACAGCGATCAGCCGGAGACTGAGGAGAGACAGGAAGAAGGAGGTGATTAACACATCAGAACAAACTGTGACGTAACGGAGCCCCCGGTTCTTTTTTATTTCTGACGTGGCTTCATGAAGCTGGAGGAAGTCATCGGCTGCCCACAAATGTAAAGAGAGTTCCTCACCCCCTCTGTGGTTCCTGTGATCACGTGAAGACCGTCGTAGGTCGACTTGATATACATTCCCTGGCGAACAGAAAAAGAAAGATTTAAAAAAAAACAACGTTGTTGCCCTGGAGTGTGAAGACTCGTCCAGCTCCGTCTGACGTCCACACGAGCTTCCACTGAATACAGTTGTGTTGGTTGATGTTGTGTTAAACAATCATTAAACTACCACACAAGAATCAAGCGGCTGTGGTTACCAGGCCTTCGGACGGTTTGACGTTGGTCAGGTGGACCAGTTCTAGATGGGCCGACTGTGAAACCAGAGGATCTGAAGAGACACACACGATGTGTTCACAAACCTCCGACAGAGTTTTACACTGAAAAATAACAACAAGAAAAATAATAAACTGAGTTGTTCAATGGAAATTACTTTGGTTTATATATTAAAAAAACAATAAAAAACAATGTTGTTAAAAGATAGTTCTCTGTTCAGGATAATAAAAAATCTGTTGTAATATAATCTGAGACATAAAATCAATTTCTATTGGTTTTTGTTTACATTTTTGTAAACATTTTTCTGGCGACCCCTACCGACAAGGATTGTTCTTTTCTTTTATCACTGATAATGATGCTAATCCTCACTTAGATATTAGTAATAGCATTGAGACTTTTTTTTTTAAATCAACAACCAAAAATGTTTTTTAATTTGATAATAAAACAGTTTCTGCCTCGGTGTGATTAGCTAAGGAACGTGTGTGAGGAATGTTCCAGAGTGTTCCAGGACTCACCACGTGAAGGATTTTGTTCTCGGTCTCAAACACAGTACACTCCTGAGGGACAGGAACAGGTTAACTTAGAGACAGAGTCGAACGTTCTGTTTCATTTACAAACAGTCGCACACACGTACAACCCCATCCCCCCCTTCCTCGCCCCCTCATACCAACACACCTGCTGGACGATAGTGGTGAGCTCCAGGCAGAGCTGAATGACATTGTTTCTGGTGACGGAATAGTCTGACACTGCCGCGAATGGAGACCTGAGAAAATAAAAAATATATAAAAAACAACAAATAACGAGTCACTGTGCGAAGCCACGTTACATTGACACAAAGATGATTTGGGGCCGTTCACACTTTCAATACTTTGAATTTCTATTATTGACATTATCGTCGATTTCCTGCCTACCTGCTACTGTTTACCTCTCGCGAGAATCAGTACAGGCGGGGGGCGGGACTTAGTCTAAGCACACAATTTGGCCAATGACCTGCGAGGAAATCCTCGGATCGTACCAATTATGGAAAGAGAGAACGAAAGAAACAATGGCGAGACCGCGAGTGTATAGTATTAGCGTCTGTCCATATTTAAGTGAAACGAAATCTTATTATTATTACCTTTGCTTTGATTTATTATTTCTGTTTGCTTTTATAATGGTGTGAGGGGAAAAAAGCAGTTTGTACTCAACGTTTTATTTTTTACATAGTAATAGCTTTAAGCTAATCGGGGCTAATTCACGAACGTACGTCCCTTTAGCTAAAGAAGCCAACGTTCGATTGTTCTTTTACATGTTTGTTTCAAATGCTGAACCACATTAAGTGTTACATTTTGTAACAAAATATCTTAAATAAAGGCCATATGAATCACAGTGTTTAAAGAACTGCTAAATACGGCTAACAAACAGTGGAAGTCTCCAAGTGAGATTAAATGAACGGCCTTTAGAGCTCGTATTAGAGAAAGAAGTGAATCTTTGAAAAAGGGCAAATAACCACCGGGCTAAGTCAACAATGTGACTCACAAGGACAAGAAGGTTCTTGTGGGGTTTTTTTAAATCAGAATCACAAATACTAAACTGAGCCCTAGGCGGGAAATAGATGGTGTTGCAGTTGCCCATGAGAGAGCAATAGAATATAATAAAATATAGTAAAAGAAGTAAAATATACAAAGAATAATGTTGATCATAATTCATTATAATTTGATATAATCATAATTATTATTTCTACGATCTCTGGATTTGAGTCTAAACAGAGAAGACTGTGTATTTATGTAAAAAAAAGAAAAGAAAAAAAAGGTCGATAGACTGTGTGTGTGTGATGTAGGTCATCAGTATTGAGGTCATCTTCTATTTATAAGCAGACTATTTCAACCCAAATCAAGATCTGGGTCCAACCCTTAAAGTGAGCAAAGAAAAAAAACCTGTGGTTTGGAAGAAAAAAAAACTTCAGAGACAAAACAAAGTCATTACTTGGAAAAACCCTGACTCACTGTCCTGATTTGGTTTTCCTGATTTATTAATGTCCGTTTACTAATTCAGTACTCAACAAATCACATTCATTCATTCTTTCATTTGTGTTAACGTAGATCCAGTCCATTAGTAAACCAGTCCTGTACATTCACACCCACATTCACACTCATATTCACACCTGTGGTCAGTTCACAGTCAAACACGTTAATCGTGTTACCTGTCCAACCAGGCCAGCAAACTCTTGGCTGCAGTGATGAGGTCGACCACTGACGTAAGCAGGTCGTTGGGCAAGCGTCGTGAGTTCCTGCTCTCTGATTGGCTGCTTCGGCGGCGGCCAGAGATGAAGTTCTGCAGGTTTTTTGCCGAAGCTCCGAGTTTGTGAGCGAGAGTTCGTACACTCTCAGTCTCCAGGCCTGAGTTCTGGTGAACACACACACAAAAAAGACAAAAGTATTTATTCAATTTCTAACAATAATGACAGACTGTTCTCCACTCCATCCTCCGAGACTAAAAATAAGAAAAAATAAAGCTTATGAGACGACGAGGACCAGAGACTGACCAGAGCACACAGCAGGTCCACGGCCTCCAGAATCAGTTCCTGGTGACCGATTCGTGAAACTCCCAGTTCCTCCAGCTCAGCGTGACTGATCCTGAGCAGACGTTCTCCACACACACCTCCACGCTCAAACACACTCACATACTGCTGCAGGCAGTCATCCAGACCTGCAGAAGACACACAGCGAGGAGTGAGGTTACACAACCACCGGTGCACCGCGTCTCAGCAGAAGGCCAAAAACACACAGCCTTCCTCCGTGCCGTCACCGTGTTACCGGTTCGTCCTGCAGCTCATTTTCACTTCATCTGTGACCAGACAGAAACCTGACGCCACAGGGTGTCTGTTCAAAAGTCACATGGTGGTTTATGGGAATTTGGTTTTTGGTTCCTGATTCTGCTCTGAGACGCTCTGACAGCTGCAGAGATTGTACTGGTCACGAATAAAACACACACACACACACACACACACACACGTTCATCAGTTAAAGGTGTTTCATTATTGCTTTTATCAAAACAAATGTTTGTTCCATTTTTAATATTTTTTAACTTGCTCAACTGTCTAATAAAAAGTGATAATAATATTAATAATAATATTAATAATTGATCCAGTTCAGTTGAACTCTTTTCATCATTGTTGTTGTTACTTTAATTGTTTTCACTTCAGACTCAGTCACGATGTGAACTTTTACTTTGACATTATTACATATACAGTATAAACATACATACATATATTTATATATATATTTGTATATATGTATTTGTATCTTTTTGTTCATCACTTTCGATTGAAACAAAGGTACTTTGGTGCCGTCAGTTTGGGTGTGTGTGTGTGTGTGTCCAAACGTGCAGTGATGCACCAACATGTTGATGAAGAAGACTGTGATTCATCACTGACTCACTTTAAACTCCCACAGAAAGAACAGCGGGCGATGCACACACACACACCCCCACCACACACACACAGACAGACATGGAACACACAGACTCACCCCATCTGTGTCAGTGACTTTGTGTGTGTGTGTGTGTGTGTACCTCTCATCCAGTCCACCACCTGCCTCCTGCTCCATTTACTGACTGGTTCCATCAGCAGCGCCATCACAAACTTCAGCGTCGTCTCCTCCTCAGTCCCCACCAGTGACTTTGTCCTCCTCCTGCTGCTCCTGCTGCTCCTCCTCCTCCTCCTGCTGCTCCTCCTCGACCGTGGCTCCTGGTGCAGCCTGGTCACAGACAGGGACCGATCTGGATCAGCAGAATCCGCTCCATCCTGCTGCTGTATGTGGACACCAGTCTTTTTCTCTGCTTCTTAAAAGTGCGACAGACAAATCCAAGCATGAGTGTGTGTGTGTGTGCGTGAGAGAGAGGGAGAGAGAGAGAGAGAGAGTGAGTGATAGAGAGAGGAACGTGGAGGTGTGTGTATGTGTTTGTGCGCCTGCGCTCCCCGTCATTAGCGTTTCTGACAGCAGCACACTTTAAAGGAGTAACCTCTTTACACCCACGCCCCCACCCTCTCTCTCTTTCTCACCCCTCCACTCTCTCTTTGTCTCTCTCTCTCTCTCTCTCTCTTTCACAGTCACGCACACAAACACACAAAATTCCAGAATTCCCCTCACAGGTGGATGGATGCTGGTTGGAGGTTTAAATCCCGACTCACTCTGGTCCAGGTCTGTTTCGGTTTCTTTTCCAAATGCTACCCCTGCTGGCCAGAGATGGAATTGTTCCACAGTCCTTCATGAAGATGAGATAAAAGATGAGATAATATTTTCATCTTGACGTTAAATAATAAAAATATTATTATCGTTCGTTAAATATCGATGAGGTTTATCAGGTAAGAATTAAATATAGGAATTTAAGAGCAAGGTAAAAAACAGCTGCTTGGTCTTGAAGTGAACCTGAGGAACAGATTTAGTTTGTTATCAAAATATTTCTCAAAGAGGAAGTGAAAAAACAACTGAAAGAAACAAAAGATATACTGATACTGATACTGAAATGAAGAATTTTCACTAATGAGGGACATAACCCCAACTTCTCTGAGAGGGGAAATTCCACTTCCTCAATTAAAAGAGCACAGAAACTTTACACCCTCTCTGACCAGAGCTCACACACGCTGGCTGGACGGAGAATCCACATCTTTTTTTAGTTTAGTTCAGAAACAGTTAACGTTTTTTGTTTTTGAAATTGATTTTAGGAATATTTATTATTGATTTATTCAGATTTTATCTTTCAGTGACTCCATTTTATTTTAAGACTTTTAATTTTTTTTAATTTTTTAAAAAATGGCTCTGGGACGAAGACAGAAGGAAAGATCTCAAACACCAGGGAGAAGTCTCTTCCAGCCGCTTGTTTTTCTCTGCCTGCTGCTTCCTCTTGCTGCTGGGTTCACTCTGAAAGCCTGTCAAATCAGTCGCAACGTGGCCAAATGTGGGAAACACAAACTAACCAGCGTACCTAGAGACGTTCCTTCAACGGTGACGGGTTGGGAGCTGTTTGAAAACAAAATTTCAAAGATTCAACTCTCGGATTTCAGAGATTTTCCGATGCTGACTCAGCTGGAACTCAACCGTAATATGATTGAGCAGATAGAGGCCAGCACCTTCTCCAGGCTGACGTCGTTGAAGATGTTGAATCTCAATCAGAACAGACTCGTTAAACTTGAGGAACATGTCTTTAGTGGACTGGTGAACCTGACGGAGCTCAGAATCAGGCAGAACCGTATCAAAGTCGTGGCTAACAACACGTTCCAGACGCTGAGCAGCTTAACAATTTTAGACATTTCTAGAAATAACCTGCACACAATGGCTAAAGTCCACACGATCATAAAGCAACTTCCACATCTGCGTGAACTTTATCTTGGGAGCAACGACTTCACCAGATTCTACTCCTGGGAACTGACCAACACGTCACTGGACATTCAACGTCTGGACTTGTCCCTGAATCCAATGGCAGTTTTCCACCTCACCTCCAACGTTCTTCCAAACCTCACCTTCTTCAACATGACCAACTCTGGGTGGACGCAGCAGATGAAACTGGACGTACAGAACCCGACGTTCTTCCATCAAGTTTCCATTCTGGACATCAGTGGAATTCACGTGAGTGTGGACGACTTAAAAACATTACTGCAGACAGTGAACGCCTCGCTCACGTCTCTGAGGATGAACAAGATGAAGAGCCACCTTTCATCCCTAATCAACGCCTCCTGCACCATCCCGACCTTGACCCAGCTGCTGCTCCAGAGGAACCAACTCAGCCACATCGGCTCGGACTTCGTTTCCATCTGCTCCAACATCACAGACGTGGATTTTTCCCATAACAATATCAAAGATATCCATGACGACGCCTTCAGATCTCTACAGAGGTTAACAATCCTGAACCTCAGTTACAACAAACTCCCCAGTGTTCCGGCTGCGATCAGAACCCTGCCCTGGCTGAAAAAGTTGTACCTGAGCACCAACGGAATATCCAGGGTGGAACGCCAAGATTTTGCCAATCAGTCGATGCTGGAGGAACTCGGCCTCAGTAAGAATTCAATATCATCTCTGAGAGGAGCCGTCTTTGAGGACCTGGTGCGGTTACAAGTCCTGAAGCTGACGGACAATCACATGGTCCATTTGGACGGTGTGTTCGAGGTCCACCTGCCCAACCTCAAACAGCTGCTGCTTCAGGGAAATGAACTGTCTTCTCTGCAGACTGGTGGTTTTGGAGGCCTGCCGTCGCTGCAGAGTTTGAAGCTACATGACAACAAACTGAATTCACTCCAAAAAGGCTGCTTCAAGGGACTGACTAATCTGACAGAACTGCTGCTCCAGAACAACCAGATCACAGAACGCGACTTGAACAACGGCTGTTTCAATGACTTGACAAACCTGAGGAGACTGGATCTGAGGAACAACCACATCTACTATAAAGACACCACAGCACTGGCTCGTCCTCCTTTTTCTCAGCTGTCTCTGCTCAGGTTGCTGTACATTCTCTCGCAGCATCACCACGGCAAATCTGGCCTGCCTCGAAACTTCCTGCAGGGTTTGACAAACTTGGAGCTTTTCGACGCCAGGAACATTCAGCTTGTGTTTCTGCATGAAAACACTTTTAACTTCACGCCCCAGCTCCAAGAACTGGACCTCAGCTCCAACGACCTGGACGATCTCTCACCAGACTTGTTTTCCCCGCTCCGGAACCTCAGAACACTCTACACTTCCAGGATCAGTCTCGGATCTTTACAATATCTCACGGACGCAAAGCTTCACAAGCTGGAGTTCCTGCAGGCCAGAAAAAATCAGTTCTCTGTGATCGACGAAGACGTCGTTAGGTCGTTACCGGCTCTGGTCTACCTGGACCTTCAGGGAAACACCTTCACCTGTGACTGTACCAATGCCTGGTTCATCAACTGGGTCAGAACCAACAACCAAACACAGGTTTTTGATGCTTATAATTTCGGGTGTAATTTTCCCACGGCGTCCAAAGGCAGCAAACTCCTGGACCTGGATGTTCAGTCCTGCACCGTGGACGTGGACTACATCCTCTTCGTCTCCACCACCAGCCTCGTCCTCCTGCTGATGGTGACCTCCTTCACCTACCATTTCCTAAAGGCCCACCTGGTCTACGCCTACTTTCTCTTTCTGGCTTTAGTTTTTGATAAAAAGCATCGAAACAAACAAAGTCCTTGTCAGTTTGACGCCTTTGTCTCCTACAACAGCCACGACGAAGCCTGGGTCGTCGGAGAGATGCTGCCCAGGCTGGAAGGAGACCAGGGCTGGAAGCTGTGTCTGCACCACCGAGACTTTCAACCAGGTGAGAGGGTTCAAAGGTCAGGGACTCCTGCTATATTTGTGCTGTTCTTATGGTTTCATTTCACTGTGACGTTTTGATCTTAAAGCGGTTTCACTTTGTTTGACTACAAACAGATGTTTTGTCACAAATGTGTTTGTCTTCAGGCAAAGCCATCATTGAAAACATAACGGACGCAATTTATGGAAGCAGGAAGACCATCTGTGTCATCAGCCGAAGATACCTGAGGAGCGGGTGGTGTTCCAGAGAGATCCAGCTGGCCAGGTAGTTCACACCATTTGGCCTCCACGTCATACCATTCATATAAATGTCACGTCGATGCTAACCACACTGAGCTGCTGTGAACGTTTAAATCAGAACCTCAGGCTCCACAGTCAGGACTTGTCTCATCCATCCATCCATTTTCATCCGCTTATCCGTTTCCGGGTCGCGGGGGCAGCAGTCGCCACCCAAATCACATTGCACCATACCAACCCCCCAAACCTTCCTGCGGGTGGTGAGTCCACTGGCAGGGACCAACCGCCCTAACCGGGATTCGAACTTGCCCAGGAGGGGAACCCTGGGGGTCCACACCAATGACAGAGACATTGCCTCTGGGCCAAAGCGCCACTGTCAGGACTGAATCAAGAACAGAAATCTTTCAAACTTTTTTTTTTTAAAAACCCACAAACACATGACAAACAGGAAGTGATTTAGGTGTGTCTGCAGCCGAAAAGCAAACTTTCACTTCCCCACTTGTAATGAACAGAGGAAGTCAAAATTAGCAGGCAGAGTAAGCAATTATTTTTTTATGACATAAACTGATATGCCCTATATTTGATGGATAAAACACTGGTGTCCGAAATTAAATTTATACAAACAAAGAGCCGAAGCTCAACAAAACATTTGACTTAAATATCAGTAAATGTCCATACTCACAGAACAACAGACATCCGGGTCAGTTATTCACTCAGTGGTGAGAGAAGAAGGGGGGTGGAGGGGCGATCTCAGACACTGTCCTTCTCAACCTGCAGCTTCTCCTCCATCTTGTTTCTTTCTTCCAGTTTTCGTCTCTTCCACGAGCAGAAGGACGTCCTCATCCTCGTCTTCCTGGAGGACATTCCCTCGTCTGAGTTGTCTCCACACTACATCACCAGGAAGCTGCTGAAGAAGCAGACGTACCTGAGCTGGCCTCGAGCCGCGGAACACCCACAGCGGTTCTGGCAGAAACTTGGACAGGCTCTCGGCCCCAGAGAAAACGATCATTTGAGTGTGCAGGTCTTGGAAGATCAGTGGTAAAAACAAACAAACAAACAAACTTTTTTTTAAAATAAACTAACAGTGACTAGATTGAGTTTAAAAATAATAATGATAAATTGAAGAAAATAAAATGTTATTGTCTTCGAACAGACGGGAAACTGAAGCGCGCCGCCAGAGGGCACCAGAGAGTAGAAGACGATGAAGTGACTTGAACGACACTTTCAAGAAGTGGCGATACTGTAAGAAACATCAACGTTTTGTTCTTATTTCTTTCTTTAATGTCTGTGACAGTGTAAACACCACGTAGAGGAACTGAGAAAAAATAAAAACCAATCGACCAGAGTTCATTTCCCAAAGATGTTTATATATTGGGACATACCAAAAATACCGTAAAAAAAGAAAAAAGGGTAGAAAAGTCACACAGACTAAGAGTTTGTCAACCTCGTTATAACTGCAGTCCTCCAAAAACTGACAGACATTTTTATTTTACTGACTGGAGGCATTTATGTCATATATAATATGATAAATGATTATTTTTAATGTCAGTCTTGACATGACGTCATCTTCATCTGAAGCTCATGTGATCAGTATGAGCGAAGGTGTACATTCGTTAACATTTACGGACACAGGTTGTATGTATTGATGATGTATTAGGAATAAAATGTTAAAACAGGAAGGTGAAAATATTTGTTGGTGGAAAACAAACTAATACAAAATGTAACTACAGCTGCTTTACAGTGAAGAACTTTTGTTTTTCTGTCAACCATTTCATACTTGTTCCAGAACATTCCTGGACGTGCCGTTATGCTGTTTTTTCATTTTTTCCCGCAATTTTCTGCAAAAAAAGAAAGAAAGAAAAGAAAAAAACACATTTTAGAAGGTGGAAGAGCAGCAGAGGAATATTTAAATTTACATTTAAAAACATTGACACTGACTCCACACACTGCTGCGTCCAGGGCTGTGAAGGATCAGCACAAACGAAGCGATCAGCGCCCCCTCTCCACCGGAAACTGGAGGAGAAAAAAAAAAAAACAACATCGAACATTAAAAAGTTGACAAAATAATTCACTTCCTGGTTCTCCTTAACCTTGTAGTATTATTGAATTGTATTACATGTGTAGTCGAGTATCTGAGCGCTAAATAATTCGTGTTATTAACAGAACAACAAAGACGGAGGTGAGCGTTTCCGGCGGAAGGTAGCGAACTTTTTTAACCCTCCCTCACCTAGTGGAGCCACACAAGGCACTTCCGGTCCACCTTTTACAATAAAACTACACACCCCGTTTTAAGAAATAATACAAACGAACATAAATACGTGATCACGGTGCTGGTCACGACAGTAATGCTATAATAATAATCACCGTACTTTATAAAAAATAAATAAAAAATTGTGTGGTGAAGAAAGTTCGCCAAACTGCTGGTTTACTCACACGATGGCGCTGATGTCACAGGACGCGGTGATGTGTTGGTGGCTGTATCCCTGCAGCAGTTTGCATCTGATCGGACGCTTACTGTACCTCAAACAGCAACGAGCTGCAGAAGAAGAAGAAACAAAGTTTTTGTTGTTGTTGTTGTTATTGTTGTAAATAAACCATAGCAGTTACAACATGAAGTTAACAAGATGACGTCATTTAACTGAAACGGTAAAAGAGAGCGAAGAAACGTCACCTGAGTGTGAGGTGCAGATGAAGGTGTGGAGAAGGATGAGGAGAATGAGACCGGCGCTGCGGACCATGGTGTCTGTGGACCAGTGTCTCTGTCAGTCGTGCTGACAACAGTCCGATTCCTGACCTCTTAAATAGAACACCTTCTTGGGGTTTTCCCTCATTATTCTACAGGATGACATCGTAACAGGTGGAATGTGGCGGAAAGTGAGCGCACACAGGATCAGGGAAGGGTGACGTAATAACTCACATGTCACTGCAGATATGCATGGAATTGGGTCCCTTGCTCTGGTGTAACTTATCTTCGGTGGTGATCAGAGAATTTACATGAGGGGGAACTGTAAAAATGTCAAAGTTTAGAGTCGGAAGTTTGTGTTCATCAAAGACTGAGAAGTCAAATAAAAACTCAAACAAAAACAAAAAAATAACGTTGTTATCAGTTATTACATAGACAAACGTTAACCATTAACATTCTCCTAAAATGTGAAACTGAGACGATGTATTATTAACTAGCAGTTTCTCTGCAATTACATCATCCTGTTAATATTTAATGCTGTGTTTGTTGCAGTTATGTTCAGACTCTAGTATCACTGCAAGAGTTCGTTTGTTTAAAGAAGATGAAGATGAAGCCAATTATTCAGTATTAGTGAGATATAACATTTTCACCAGGGCTGTGAAAACACCGTATGTATGGATTTATATCTAAGTTGGGTTTTTTTTCTCACCAATTCTCAGTCCAATATTCCTGGTGTTGATTCATTTTCTTCTTCTTTTCTTTCTTCTCTAGTGATTCCAAATGTAGATCCCTCTGTTCCAGTGTTAGTAACCTGATGTCGTCTCCTGCGCTTTCTTCGCCCTGCTACAATGTCAATATATATTGCTGTGCCTAAAGTACTGCAGTATATTGCAATACATCAATACATATACTGGGGATCATTACTATAATACAGTATTTGGTCTGTTTGGCGTGGAACTCTTTAATCAACAACAAACGCAAATGGCCATCGATGCAAACGAGGAAAAAAACCCAAATCAGATCAGATCTCTGTGTTGGAAATTTTTCTTCCACTAAAGGTCAGAGAAACAACGAACACACAAAAAAGAAAGGTCCCTGACTCATTGACGTTTTGCATTTCCACATTTATTGCACACACCAAAGCCATGGTGTTTGACAACGTCACTGAAGAGTGAACAAAGGTGTGAACACACACGGAAACGACTTAAACAAATAGTTTTACATATCTGCACAAAATCATTTACACTTTTCTCTTTAACTGCACTGAGCGTGAATCACCCTGGAACTGAAAAGAAATCTCTGTTATTATACATTAAATAAATATATATGTGTGTATATATATGTCTTTATACACATATATATTCATACACACATATGTATTTATATATACATACACACACATATATGTAGTCAGTATATTGTTTCAAGTAAAATTATTTTATAAATTAACTTTAAGGAATTTTAAGTTTTTAATTTTCACGTCTGGTTTAGTGCATTGTTCTTACAGTGAAAAAAACACATGACATGAATTAATTTTATAAACGCAAAAAAAAAAAAGTTGAAAACAGTGATGATAAAAAGAAAGAGAGAGAGAGTTACAAAGAGACCGGGGTGGATGGGGGGGCATCGGTGCAGCAGGGACTGGTGGTGTGTTTGTCCACATTTCCCATCATGCTTCATCCTCTGAATGTTCGCAGCTCATCATTCCTTCTCTCTCTCTCTGTGCTGTTGGATCGCCCTCCAGATCCGACAGAGAACTCCACCCCTGAAGAACAAGAACAAAAAAAAAAAAAAAAAAAAAAAGAGAGGACAGCTTCACTCAGAGAGTTTTCTGACACAAAAAATTATACTTTTTCTTATCTTGGAGCTCAGTCTGAAATAATGGGTCAGTGAAAGTCAAAGGTCAGACCACAGTAAAAACTGGACCTTTTTAAAACCTCAGACCTGAACTGGAACTGTCTCCAGAAGAAAATGATAAAGGTTAGGGATGTCCGATGTTAACTTTTGTGCCGATATTCGATATTGTCTAAACACTTAAAACAGTGTTTCTCAATTATTTTATGCCATGGTCCCCACCCTCCCAGGAACAGAAGTCCATCCGTCCCCCTCCCCGAATTGAAAGACTATTAAGGGCCTGGTAACATTTATTTATTTATCTGTATTTATCTTTAACCCCCCCAAAAATATTTTTATTTATAGAGCTTCATTTTGCCAAACCCAGGCATTGTGTTATTGAGTTTTCAGTATCGGAAAAACCGATAACGATTCTTAAAGATATTACATATTTATGCTAATATCAGGCCGATAATATCGGTCGGCCAATATTATCGGACATCCCTAATATATATATATATATTTTTTTTTTTTTTCGTTTTTCTGTGGTCAAACGACTGTGGTGAAGGAACAGTACCGAATACGGAGAAAGCGGAGGTCTTCCTTGGTGATGTCACACAGGACATCAATCAGCGTGTATTCCTCCAACACGAACTGAGACAAACACACAGAGACTCACAACATGAGTTCATCATCACACTTTCCTTTTAGAAAAACTGAGAGTTCTGTCCTGACCAGGGCTGTAACGATACACCCGACTTTAAACAATTTGAATTGTGACGCCTTTGTATTGATTTTAACTGATCCGAGACTCATCGTTACATCCCCAGTCCTGACGTCTGCAGAGCAGATACTGGACCTTATCCACAGTGTCTGGATCGGCGCCCTGCTCCTTCAGCCAGTCTACGAGCTGCTGGTCTGGTTCGTGGTCTGCTGGGATGTGGACGATGGAGGGGGGAGAAATGTCTGACGGAGAAGAAGATGTGGTTTAGAAAGTCAAACGGACTTAGGACTCAAGACTGTCCAGTGAGACAGTGATCATTAACCTGCTGGTCTGTGTCGGGCTCTGACCAACTCCACATCGTGTAACCTCTGCTGCAGCGTGGCCTTCAACACCTGCTGATACTCCTTCTCCTTCTGCAACAGCTCCTCCAGCAGTCTGCAGAGTGAACAGCAACAACACCGGCCTTCACACTCATACATGAGCACGTCGATATGTTTCTAATTTCTTATTTAATATTTAATATATTAATAAATAATATATAATTAAATAAATTATAATTAAATAACTTATATTTAATTTATAATTAAATGTTTTAATGGTGAAACTAGACGCCCTCCAACCTGGTAGTTTCATATTTAATCTTGCCCAGCTGAGCGCCCAGGTGATGGTGATGCAGGCGCTGGTGTTCGTGGGAGTGGGAGGGGTTCAGTGCAGTGGTGGCGTGGGCAGCCTCGGTCGCTCCGGTGTCGTCTGCGTGCGGAGCCAAAACTGGAGTGAACTCCGTCTCCTCCTCATCCACCTCGTCTTCTTTCTCCGCTCCTTCACACTCCGACGCCGGACCAAAGTGAGTCTTGAGTTCTGTGAAGGAAGCAGTGAAACTGTTGTACAAACATTTGACTCACTCCATGCTTTTCTTTTTTTTTAAGTCAGTGGCTGTTCAATGGTGGTCACTAGATGGCGACAGAAGCTCTAGTTAGACCTGGAATGAGGATGGTGATGGCTGCCTGCACAGCTCTGCGGATGATGTTGTCCATGGCGAACATCCAGTGAGGTTTGATGTGATGGTTCCTCAGGACTTTGTTCACCTGAGACACACGGACAGATGATGACGAATTAATAAATAAATATAATATATATGATAAACTATTTTTCTCTATAAACTATGTAAAAACATGTTACACATTGAAAAAAAATATTTAGAAAAATAAAGCTGCCTTTTCTTTAGATAGTCTAGTTTATTCTAAGCCGGCAAACAGTCGCAACAGAAAATAAAAATGTTTCACAATAAAAGCCCGTGGGATAAAAAATTAGTTTTTCAGAGATTGATTTTTTTTTTTAGGAAAGGTGTGCGAAATGAACAGACAGACTGAAGGACAAATAAAATCTGAACACTACAGTTGACCAGCGCCCCCTGTCTGAACAGCTGAGGTACGGCAGAATTACAGTTCTTATGACGCAAAGAGAGAAACGTCTCAAACACAACAACATCATCTGTTATAAAAACAGACGCTCGTGTTCTTCTGCGGAGCAGTTAGGCCGGTTACCGAGTCCTGAAAGCCGAAGAGAACCAGTTGGATCTGGTTGATGGAGGTGGAGTCGAAGTCCAGGTCCAGCTTGAGTTTGGAGATGGTGGCGGCCATGACACGTCTCTCTGGTGAATGGATGAAGTCTCGGAGGATGCAGATGATTTGCTTGATGTGGTCGAGGGACAACTGGAACTCATCGCTGCCCTGAGCGTGGACACACACACACACACACACCAATAACAACAATGATGAAGAGACAATATTTCTTTATTTTGATTTTTTTGTCTGTTTTTAAAGGGTCACGCCAAAGCTTTTGTTTTAAGATTTCAAAACTGATGCAGTAAAAATACATCGTGGTCATTTTTATGCATTTTTATCAGTTATATAGTAATGTGGTATAAATGCAAATGTAAACACACACACACACACACCTGGATATGGTTCTCTTTGAGGTTTGAAATGACCTTCTCTTGGTCGTCGTTCAGGACTTTGTAGAGAATGGCTCGTCTCTCGCTGTCCTTCTTCAACATGAACAAACCACTGTCTCTGTCCTCGGGGGAGGGGGGGGCGTTACGGTCCTCTGACACGAGCGTGGACTCTGGAACACTAACACACACACACACACATACCATGATGTTACAATTATTTCAGTCTGATGCTCAACACTTACTTTATTTACACATTCGTGTTTCCCTTGGTTACAGTGTTTGTCCAGGAGTTGGCGCCACACATGCATGTGTCCACAGCTGTGTGTCTCATAAATGGACAGACACCATTAGGTCATGTTCTAAAAGTCAGCGGTCAATACGACCACCTGTCCATCACACACACACACACCTCAGGTAGTTGGAGCTCGGTGGTTTCAGCAGGTTTTCGGAGCCGGAGTTTTTCTTCTTGTGGAAGAAGACGTCATGTTTGGAGTCGCAGTCCGGACTCACGGAGCCGTGTTCACTGCTGCTGCTCCCAGTGGCCTCACACTGTAACTGCACCGGCAGGGAGATATTGTGGATGTAGTCTGAACAGACACAAAAAGAAAAAGCAAACATGAAGAAAACAACGACACGATTCAACTCCAGTCCCCGTCGGTGTCCAGACCTGAAGGCTTGAATGCTATCTTGCTCTTTTTGCCCTTGGTGGTCTGTTTGACAAAGGTGTCTCTGAGAAGGTCCGTGGCCGTCGCTCTCTTGTGCGGGTCCGGCTCGAAGCAGCGCAGAATAAAGGACTTTGCTTCCAGAGACAGAGACTCTGGGATTTCTGGATGGATCTTGAACATTCCCACCTGAAGCACACAGACACTGAAACACTCAAATAAAATGAAATAAAAATACATTTTCTGTCGAGCATTATTATTTGATTGCTCATTTTGGAATCCAGTCTTGGACCGGATGATCACTGACATACAGGTAATCCAGGAAAATATAAGATTACACCAGATTTGCGTGTTGTAGCAGCAGGAAAAGACCATTTGAGTTTTACAAAGGCCGCTAGGGGGCAGCATTTCAACAAGTTCCAGTATCCGAACACAGCCAACGGTTCTTCTCTAACACTTTGTTTTTTTTAAAATTCTGCCTCTGCAGCTATTACCCAACACAGCGTCAATGGTCACGTGACCAAAAGTGACGTCATAGTCAAGAAAACAAAGAAGCCACGTCTCCTCTGCTGAACGTGGTCCATATACTAACTTTAAACATGGCCGCCTGCGGTTCGCCCAGCTCGTGGAAGGGCGGTTTCCCAGTGGCCATTTCTATGATGGTGCATCCCAGCGACCAGATGTCAGCAGGGGCCCCATAACCTCGAGGGCCCTTATCGATGATCTCTGGTGCCATGTACTGAAGAGTCCCTGAGAGCAGAGAGAAATGGAGGAAAAACACGGACATGAGTGAAAATATGTAGAAAACAAATAGTAAAAAAAAAAACCCCAGTCTGAACTCCTGAGCAGATAAAGAATCCAACACATCAAAACAAACAAACACACACACACACACGGACACACCCAGCTGCTAATGAAAGTTAAACACTCCTGTGTCCGTGTTTGATTAGTTAATCTAATCCCACAGCTCAGTGGCTGCTGGATGACAGATGGGGAGTCAATCTGTTTCCACGGCGACCGCAGGTTTATGAATCTGCAGCAGTTCAGACTGAGACCTATCGATAAGAAAACAACATCCAACGACTGCGTTCTTGTTGGTGTTTTAACCCCAATCCATTCAGTGATATGTGATTAACGTCGATGGTATAGAAGTTACCAGTGAAAGTTTCTGTACAGGGGTTGACCCCTGCCAAACGCTTGGACGTCCCGAAGTCGGAGATTTTCAGGACGCCGCTGTAGGTGTTGACCAGGACGTTGTCCCCCTGACAGAAGAGCAGACGTGAAGATGGAAACTGACCACAAAGACGTGGAGTCGGCGGTGGATTGAGAGCCAATCCTGGGTCAGTCCCACTGAAGGCTGACCAATACCTTAATGTCTCTGTGGACGATCTGGTTGTCGTGGAGGTACCGCAGGCCCTCCAGGATCTGCCTGGTGTAGAAGATGATGGTGGCCTCTTTGAGGGGACCCCATTTAGACGTCAACAGGGCCGACAGGCTTCCTGGTGAGGGGACAGAGTGGGGGTCCGACAGCTTTTAGTCATGACATAGAACAGGAGTGGGCAAACATTTGGCTCACGGACCAAAATGAGGTTCAAAATTTGACTGGTGGGCCGGTTCAGTACTGGGTTGGATGAAATAAAATGTACAAGAATAAAACTAAATAAAACTTTCACAGATGATTTAGCACATATAATCTCCACTGCCACCTAGTGGTATCAACAAAAATTACACTTTGTCATAATGCATAAAACAGAAGGATCGAAGTCAATCTGTACCAGACCAGCTATGAAAGCCTAGTGTTAAACATGGAACGGCATTGTTGTAATTCTTGCCCCCTAGTGACAGGGTTGTTTATTGCCGGTGGATTAGGCCGTTAAGTTTCTAAATAGTGTGTTGTTTCCGGACACACCTCCAGGCACTTGTTCCATGAAGATTTTAATGTATCCGTTCTCAGAGACAGAACCCAGGTACTGGACGATGTTCCTGTGCTTCAGATATTTGTGAAGAGCGATTTCCTCATGGAGAGGCTGAGAGTATCTGTTGAACAGGAAAGAGAAAAAAACAAACAAAACAGAAGCGCCGTGGATGCCTGTCATGTCTCAGATTTCTTCGTCCCCTCCTTCCCTCCTCCCTCTACCTGCTGTCTCTCTCTGGGATCTCCTTGATGGCGATTCGGACCTGGTTGCTCAGGTCTCTCCCGGCGTAGACGACGCCGTAGGTTCCTCTGCCCAACACCACCCTGTCGCCTGTCTCGTTGGTGTCATACTCGTACTGTTACCACGCAAACACACATCTTAATTGTTATAGGTGACAGTCAACATGGCTGACAGAAACACACACACACTCACACACACCTCCAGTGTGTCTGCTTCTCCTTCTCCTTCCAGCTCCACAGCATTTCCTGTTCCATCAGAAATCATCTCCTTCACCATGGAACAGAACCTGAAACACACACACACACACTCTGCTGTGTCATGTTGTTTACAATAACACACACACACACACTCGTCCAGGCGTGCTCTCACCGACCACTCTGTTCTTCTGTAGAGAAGTAGATCTGAAAGTCGTCAGAGTTGTCGTGGACGTACAGGAAGCTGCAGCGCTCGTCAAACTTGCTGATGCTGCAGAAATACGTTTTCTTTCAGAACGGAATATAAAACATGACCTTTTTTTTTGTTTTTCCATCTGGAAACTTCTCTCCCACCTGATTCCTTTGATGGACGATGCAGAGAAGTTCCACTCATGGATTCCTTTCTGTCAGGGAACAGTTTCAATTCAAACACAATGTTGGAAAAGACGGGAAGATCAAAGCACCGTCTAGAGTCAATGATGTACGATCACAGACTCGATACACTAAAAAATTGCGATATTTTGTTTCACAATACTGTATCACAGTTTATTGTTGCGCTTATACTATCGCAATATATCACAATATATTGTATCATTGTCCCTGTATCGTGATACATATCGCTTCGCCAAATTCTTGCATTCTTCCCGTCTTCAGTCAATATAAACAAGCTGTGAAACAGAGGTTCGGAGGTCAGAGAAATCTAAAAACTTCACAGACAGAACCGTGATACATATCGCTTCGCCAAATTCTGAGGTCACAGCGCTCCGTCTGTGACCTCATCCAGTGAGTTCACATAAAAAAAAAACGTTTTAGTCCTCACTGTCTCTGGAGGGGAAACGTGCCATATGGAGACGTTTTTCTCCTCGGCCTGGTTGTTTATGGACACGTAGGACGGCTGGTAAACTTTGGTCGGCTCCAGAATCAACACCTGTCACAAAGAAAATAAACAGCTCAGAGTCCGGCAGTTAAAGATTCATCGTTCAACAGCTCACAGTGCATCTGTACTGGGAACCGCAGTCTGTTGGTGGTTCCCTGCGTGGCCTCCACAATGATGTCCATCCAGAAGTTGAGTTTCTCGCGCTGCGGAGAGTGTTCCACCGTCTGCTTCTTGAACCTTTGAATCAGTTGCAGGTTCTGCACCACCGAGCGCAGGTACCTTCACATCAGAAAATGGAAAAAAAACAAATAAAGAAAAGTCTAAACCATGATGAGTCACAAGTGTTCATGTGTTCTTGTGTTCACCAGAGAGGGGGTTTCAGTTTGAAGAGCTTTTCTGCAGCCTGGGTGGCTTTGGGGATGTCGCTGGCTAACATGCTAACTGTGAAGAACTGGCCCACATCCCAGTAATTGTTCATTTTCTCCAGGGAACCTTTCCGTCCCAGCAGGCTGTTCAGCCTCACGCCTGCAGAGGGAGACAGAGTGCAGTTCAAAAATCAAGCATATAAATACAGTAATCAGGGGGTCTCTGAGGTCACAGGACTGTTGAGTTAAAGACTAGTTCACCTATTTTCCTCAGTTCCATAGAGCTCTCAAACTGTTGACCTGCCACTATGAGCAGAACGGCCAGGTTGATGCCAGAGTAGAGAGTAGGCTGAAGTTCAAAACCTTTCCTGTACCTGAAACAGATGTTTTTATGTTTTTTTTAAACAATTAAAAACAAAATGACACAGTTTTTAAAAGACACATTTTTTATTCTGTCCCATTACCACTGGATGGCGTTGTCTCTGTTCTTGGTGTCCTTGCAATCCGAGTCCAGAAAGATGTCCTTGTAAATCCGTCCACACAGACAGAACATGTCTGGAGCGGGATGTTCACACGACTGTAACACCTGTAACATGACCCTCAGAGCCTGCTCCCTGTCTCCAGGACTGTTTCTCCTGCACTCATGTAAAAGAAATGGATCATTATTATATTCACATGAGGATGTAGGAGAAAGTTTGTTCACTCAGACCGGGCTGGAGGCTGAAAGCTAATTTGGTTTCAAACAATGATCCTAGATCAGTGTTATTCAACCTTGGGGTCGCCTAGAATTCAAATGAGGTCGCCTGAAATGTTTTTGAGAGATGTTATGTTCAGTATTAATTTTCAGCCTGGTACAAGCTGAACTGTACATGTGATCAGGGGAAACAAATCTGGCAACACAGTATAACTAACTAAAAAACAGATTCTAGAAAAAATAAAAATGTCTCTGGAGGTTGCCAGTAATTATGTCAGGAGCCAAAAAATGGTTGGAAACCACTGGACCAGGTCCAAACAACAACCAGACAGAATCTCATCAGTACAAATGAAAGGAAACGAGAACCAAACGTATCCTTTTTGACCTGTGTTTTTTCCAGTCATTCCGACCTTGGCTGATGTTTTTACCTGTTGAGAGCGAAGGCGTAGTGGAACTGGATCATGGGCTGCGTGGCCAGATCACAGGTGGGCAACATTTCTAGAGTTTGCACCAGCTTCACCATGGCATCGTAGTCCTGATGGACAGACAGAGAACTGGTTTATCATTCAAGCTGTAAACAGTGCTGTGAACTGTGACTGGCTGTGTGTTCGGACCTGGATGTCTCTGTAGGAAAACAACAGGTTCATGACGATGTCCTGGGTCAGAACTTCGGTGTTGTCGATGCGGAGTTTGATGCGGGAGAGTTCTTTGGCCAGTTCTTCTCCCTGATATTTTTCTCTGGCTTTTCTGATGTCATTGAGCAAAGTGTCCTTAAAGGAGGCGCTGCCGGCGACAGACGGAACCACAGGTTAAATTACTGCCGTGATGGTGAATCTGCTGCGTGTGCGTGGACTCTCACCAGGACGTGACGTGGATGTCCCTCAGCAGGCTGATGAAGCGGTCGTTGAGGGGTACGCAGAGTGGTCCCAGGAGGTTGTCCCAGCTGGGCTGCATGTACTCACTGGCTCTGCGTTGGGCGTCACTTTCACAACACATGTACTCGTGGTTGGGGGTCACGGTGTAAGGGATGAAGTAGTAGTTTCCACTGGACGCCTGGAAGAACAAGGGAAATCTGTCACGTTAATTCGGGAAAATAATCTGCCAAATGTTGACACAGAAACACGTCGAACCAGGAACAGGAACCTGAACATGTTGTGATGTGTTCACTGGAATCCAAGAAATGTAGACATCTGTAATATGTTGTTCGCACAATCTCCCAGCATGTAATACACTGTATCATTGCACCTACAGTATCGCAATATATTGTACCGTAACCCCGTATCGTGATATGTATCATATCACTAGATTCTTGCTCAGTACAAAAACATCAACAATATACAAACATACAGAAAAAAAACCCAGAAACTTGCCGTATTTTTCTGTGCCACCATGTCCTGTAAAAAAGGTAAGAGAAATTTTTTTACAATTTCTTCTTTCTCTGTAACATAGACGTAACTTTGTTGTAAGGAATGATTGAGATTGTATGATGTGTGTGTGTGTGTGTGTACCTTCAGGGACTGGGCAGTATCAGGATCAGTGTCATGGTATAGGATCACGTTGTTAGCCATGTCAAAACTCTCTCTCACCCCCAGGTGGTAAAAGAGCGAGGGCTGTCGAAACACATCGCTCATATCGACCACAGCGATGTCTGCAGAGAAACACAACATATAACCACTAATATATAACTCCACGCTGCGGTCATCTCATCACCAAACACAGTCTGAGCCTCACGTTGATTAAACCTTGTGTTGTGATTAAACCTCTGTTTGAACAGATGGAGTTTCTTAGCTTCATATTCATTTCCTTGTCCCATCATTTATTCAACTCTGACCTCATCGTTATCAATAACCAACGTCGACTCAAGAGATCAACGTAAACAGACAGATCACAGAGTTGGGTTTGATCTATAGACTGTTTTCAGGTACAAGTACTACACGGTAATGAAGTACTTCCAATTGAAGACTGTTCTGGACAGACTGACCTGAAGACAGTTTCTTGAGATATATACATATATATGTGTATATATTTACACACATACACAAGTTTTCTTTTTTATACAAGATTGACCTTTAACCCAGACGGTGTACTGCACAGTTCTACATGATACTACTTCCTCCTGGTAGTTCTAGCTCACCTGCATCGTAGAACGTGTCCAACACTGACGTTTCCCCAAAGTCCAACCTCCCGAAGGTGACGGTGGTCAGCAGCGCGCTCTCGGTGTCGCAGGCCCGCTGTAGACACTGCAGAGCTCCGGACTCCGGGCTGCTCGCCATCACCGACTTCAGACCGTCGTTCAGGACGTAGACCACCCGCAGAGACCGCTGCTTGAAGGGGGGACTCGGGCTGGAGACATCGGGCCTCTCCCGCTCCCTGTCCAACGTGTTCATCCCGGCGGAGTAATCCACTCCCATGTCGCTGACCTGAGCGTTTTGTCCTGACTCCATACCGTGGATCCTGGAGGGGACTCTGCGGCTTTTGTCAAACTTCCTCCCAAGTGAAGCCTGTCACTCTTTGAGCCTCTTACCCGTCGCTTCTCCCGCAAACAAGTCGGTTCCTGAGTCTGAGTCTCAGGAACCAACATCCTTCTGAGATTATCCCGCTCCAGGAAACAGGTCTCCTGTAGAGGAGGAGGGGAGAGGGGAGGAAAGGGGAGGAGGACGAGGTGAGGGTTAGATGGAGGGAAGGAAGACAGGATGGAGAGCGGAGGTGATGAGGGCAATAGAGAGACGACAGGAGGAGGAGGAGAAAGTATCCACTGATGTGTTCCGTCTCCCTTCCTCGCAGTTTTATGGTTTGAAGTTACTCCATAGTGAGGAAAGAATTTACATCAGTACTTTTCTCTTCACTAATGTAATTAGTTCGGTTCACAGATGTCGATGGTCTTAGTTTATCTTGACGTCACACAACACGGCTTGAACGTAACTTTATGCAAAAATAAAGTGATATATTATATATATACGAAAAACAAAAATAAAAAAAAAAATAAAGTGATATATTATATATATACAAAAAAAAATTCGTTTTTTATTTTATCCTTTGTTTTTATTTTATTTTAAACACACCTCCTTGAATAAAGTAATAATAAAATAAATAAAATTCACACAGGCAGCAGCGCCGACACCACACAGGTCTGAATGTCGGCCTCGACGCTAACCATTAGCAACACAGGCTAATCAATTACCAGTATTCAGCGTTACATCGATCTATTTTCACTATTATGATGAATTTGTGTCTCTACCACCAACATGAACATAAAATATGTATCCACTTACCATTAAAAGTTTTAATAAATAACTAAATAACGCCTCGGTCGTTGTGAGTTGGTGCCGAGCATCGACAACCGCTGACTGCTGGTCTTCACCTTCGGTTTTCCTCGTTTCCAGGTTTTGGCCGAGTTTCTGCTCGTGTACATTTAGGGAATATGGTTAAAATTAAATACAGTATTGATTTTTGTGTTTTTCTAAATATTTATGTAATTTTTTCTTTTGAGTCAAAAATAGAAAAGCTTCTCCCTTGCACACCACAATATTATAACCAACAGAACGACACAATTAAATATAATACATGTAACGTTCCTAATTAATTTAATAAATCTGCTGTTCGCTGTCGTAGAGTAAGTCGTACCGCTGCTGAAGACACGGTTATCTTTTGGGATTTACTGCCACCTGGTGGTGATATTACAGAAGAACTTGTGAGGAAGGAAAATGTAAATAGGAATATCTTGTAATTTGGTGAATAAAATAAGTCAGACAGATGCTTTAATTATATATTGTCAACAAATTAAAAAAATCAAATCAACCACAGAAACACATTTTATTTCATTTCCTGATGTACAACAATAATGAAACACATAAATTAACAGAGATAAACAGAGTGACAGTGGATCAAAATGTACAAGAGAAAACAACATAGAAACAAAACAAGAACTCATAGAGGTTTTTTTTAAAACCAACACACAAATAAAACCTATGATGAAAAAAAATCAGCTGTGAAACGACCACAGTCGGAGGAATCCATCAGAAGACAAAACTAAATTCTTCTTCTGGGTTTGGACGTTCTACAGCTTTGACCTACATTTCTGGTGATTTCCCATCAAACAAAACCCCTGGGTTTAAATCCTTGTCCTCATCAGTAACAGTGGAACGTCAACACACACCAGTGTACTACAGTACCACACAAGTTTTACTTCAGATAAAAAGTACATTCACACAAACAAACAAAAGAAACAAAAAAGAAAAAATTCAGAATTCACAGAAGTTGTTCAACAAAGCTGGGAGTTTTTTCCTCCTCAACCAGTCGGACGACGATGATGATGATAATCAGCATTAGAGGAAAAAATGGTGACAAAAACAAAAGCACATTTTATATAGTGCAGACACAGTCTTTCTACAGGGACATTGACTTAGCACTGTGTCAAATATTTATCCATATTTCATCCACAAGTCTGGATCAGTGCAGTTTGACGAATTCAATAATTGATGAGAGTCCCCCTGGTGGACAAAATGAAAACCGTCACAAAGAACTGGCTCAGGATTAAAGTCACAAACAATGGCTGAAAATAAAAGACAATAAACGGAAGGTGGAAATGTTGAAAATGAAGGAAGAACTTTAAACTAAAAACTGTAGAAAAAATGTTTAAAAAATTGTACTTAAAAATGTCTCTATTTTATATTCCATATGTTATAAATGATAAAAATCAATATTTGTATTGTACCCTGTCATTATTTAAAAAAAACCCAACAGGTATGTGGGAACATTAAAAAAATAAGATATGAAAAGCAAAGAGGTGTTACCAAAATAAGGAATAAATTACTTTAAAAAATAAATCTCCATGGAAGGCTGCAGACCGATGTTTGTCCACTAGTGTTGACCTTTAATGTTGAGACTCTTAGTAGAACACATGGTTCTTAGTGAGTGCAGATGAGTCACCAGTACTTCATTATAACAAAGAAGACTTCAGGACTGTTAACCGGTCTAGAGTTTCTTCCTGTTGGAAACATTATCTCCTGCAGTAACCTGCTCAGGTCCACGTTGTCACAGCTGCCCTAACACACTATGACCACCAGGGGTTTTAAAACTTTCTCATTTTCTCAGAGTATGAATATCTGAATATCTTCAAATCCTAATCACAGAGGGGGCAGCCAACCCCAGCGGTCATTCAGTCAGGGTGTGGGGGCGGGTCACGCATAGAGAGAAACAACCATTCACACCTACATTCACACCTATGATCAGTTTGGAGTGAACACGTTGTTGAAGCATGAACATGGAAACTGCCGACAGAAACACAAGAATCAAACCTTCTCGCTGTAAGGGAACTGTGCTAACCACTGCTGCCAGTGTGGCCCAACCTGACGTCCTGGCTGTTTAGTCAAAGGCCAGTGCAAACGTGCTGCTCTGTTAGAGTTACAGTAAAAATAAAGTTACATCAGAAAACATCAACAATTTGGTCACAAACAATGAAAATCCAAGTGACAGTGACAGCAAAATTCAGCACGTGTTATTTATGTCAGGTGCTTAAACTGTATTATTGAAAAAATATTTTGTCATTAACAACAAACTCTGATGTTGCCATCCAATGAAATGGCAGTGGTGAGGAGTGGCCCTTAGATGATTGGTGTTTGAGACCCCTGGACTAGAGTGGGGTTTTAAACACAGTAATATTATTATTACTAGTACTACTACTACTACTACTACTCTGTGTAACAGCTCACCTTCACTGACTCAAATGTGTCACTACAAACTGAATGGAATTTGTCTCAGCATTAGGAAAATAAAAACATTTTATATTACAAACAGCTGAATTAGTAACTTTGGACTCAATACATGTCAGATTTCATCAAATAAATACATTTTTTCATTTTCAGACTTCGCCGTGGAAAGGATTGGCGAGTCCTGGTCTGTAGGTCCCGGTTCAGGGGCTTCATCAGGCAACAGGGTGGGTGGTAGAGGTGGGGGGGTTAATCTACAATTAGACAATGAAACAGAGTTAGCTGATTTGGTCCTTTTTTATACACCACTATAAGAGTAAGTCAGAAAAAAATGAAACAATAAATGTTGGAAAAAAAAAATTTAACACGATGTGTGTGAATAAAAAACTGGTCAGGTAAATAAACGTAGCCTGAGAACATATGAAACAATAAATGTTGGAAAAAAAAACATTTAACACAATGTGTGTGAATAAAATAATTTATGTCCAAACAGGAAGTCATCCTGTGATGTAAGGCCACACCCACGGGAATCACATGCTGCATCAACAGGAAATGATTGTGATTTTTTTTTTAACATGACATTTCATTCACCTTGGCCACAAACAAATCCCAGGAAGTTCACAACCAAATTTGTTTATTTTTGTTCTCTAATCTCTCATCTAAAAAGTACCTTCTCAGACAAGATATATAGTCTTTAAAAAACATCACTTACTGGGAACTGGATCCACCTCCATGGCCTTGGATAATCCCAGTCCAGAGTTCTGTTTCGGTCTGGCCCCCAGCTCTCTCACATCCCTGTCAGTGTTCTTGTTCTCCTCCACAGGTTTCTTCTCTTTCTCCACCTCCTCTGGTTTGTAGTAGCCTCCTTCGTTTGCCACCAGCCTCTCCACGCCCTCCAACAAGCGTCCCACCTGCGGGTGCTCCCCATATATACAGTTATTGATGACAAAGTACCGGTGCTTGCACTTCTCCAGCACCCACTGCAGGTCCTTGCCTTCTCTGCGAATGTACCTCTCGATCGGAATGGTCCTCAACACCTCGGCCCACGTGAAAACAACGATGGTATGTTTCCACACGTGTTCCCCGAACAGGCTGACGTGCTCCTCGATGCGAGCACGGTCCACGTCGGTGAACATACCCACAGGAATGACCAGCAGGAAGGCGTGGGGTCCCGGGGGGCAGAGAGCTGCTCCTCTGACCAGCTCCTGTTTATAGGAGGGAGGGGTATCTTGGGCCGAGAACCATCCCGGGGTGTCCACGACCGTCACCTCTCGACCATCCACCTCCGTTTGCCTCTTTACGCAGAACTCCGCTGCTCGCTCCAGACGAAACTCCTCTCGGCCTATGATTGTGTTCCCTGTCAGGCTCTTCCCCGGCCACCTCCAGCCCAGAACCACCAGGCGGATTTGATCCAGACGGATGGCTGCCTGGGCGGCTTTCTTCTTCGCCTCTTCTTCCGTTCCTGCAGCATCTCTGGCTGTGGTAAAGAGGTTAACACAGAGTCACAGTTAGGCACTATCAACAGGAACATCTCGTTTTGTTATAGTTATTATATCACGTGAATCTCGTTGTTATAGTGGGAAGTCACATAATCTAGAGATGTGCGATGTACTGTGGATGAAAGGTGAAATTAATTAATTATGGGTCAGTTGATATTTTTATATAATAATTAAAATGTCCGACAATCTCTGGAATAAGTTTACATATTTTAACACCCTGTAAAACATTAACTATCAGACTAGGAACATTATCACAAGTGTAATGCTAGCTAATCAATGCTAGTTTGTTCAGGAATACAGGGTTTACTACTGTATCATGTATGGAATATGTTTTTAAAAATGGACAAAATATTCTTAATGGGTTAGCAAAGTTACTCTTGAAAGTCCATTATGAGTATTTACACTGTTCACATTTATATTTATATATATTTATGTGGGTGTGTGTATAAAGGGCAGTTGGTTAAGGTGGGACATTGTTTCCGGAAAGATATTGTAAAGCTAAACGGTAGGTTTTAATGAAGTTGATCGAACTCATGTCGACAATACTGATTTAAAACTTAATTAACCTGTCCCTAACCTACTAACCTCTGACGTTTCCTTGTACGTGTCAAACATGTTACAGTCCGGTTTAGCCTGGAAAGCGTCCTCTGCTAACTTTCCGCGCTAACTTTGATAACCTCGAAAACTGGTCATTTTTTTTAAACACAACAATTGTTTCAGGAACAATATGTACACATTACTGACTTACTTGTAGTCGGTCGTGGTTTGTTTTCTGCCATTGTCTGTGTTTTTTTATCCACAGTAAGAGTCAGTTCCAGGTGATATTCGTTTTTTGGGCGGACACTTCGGTTGACTGGAGGAGGACTTCCTCTTCAAGAGAGCATCAAGTTAACCGTGATAAATGTGTGCGTACTTCTTGTAACGTTTCAAAATAAGAGCATGTGGCCGGAAGTTGTGTTTTTATGGTTTAATCATGTGTTTGACAACACTTTGTTTACCTTCCTATTTATAATTGACGCATAACCGACGAGTTTCTGTTGTGCGTTTTACATGTCCTATAAAAATCTACAGTATATATATTTTAAATATTATGAATAAAATCAAATGTATCTTAAAGCTGAACTATTAGTGACAGGACTGCAGTCATTCAGAGTAGCAGAATAGCAAGACAATACACAAAGACACTAAACATTATGAATTATTTTATTGTTGAAAAGTGAAAAGCGTTCTATTTACATGGTGTGTGTAATGTGTAAGCCTATTTACAGGGATCAAAAATACTACACAGCTATTTGCTCTAGGAAAAAGAAACTACCTAGTTTCAAACCTTGAGAGCAGGAAGTAAAAGCTGAAAAGCATAGTAAATGGCAGATTGTGAATTCCTTCATTCATTCGAAATATTTCATTTCTTAATAAACACAACCTTTGGAGTCCATTATAAGATTAAAAAAAAAAAAAAAAAGTTCTTCCCTTCAAAATTAAAAGAAAAATCTGAAGTCCTCCTCAGGAAGTGCGATGCTGATTTATGGTGCTTAAGTGGCCCAAGATGCCAGCATACGCATATCGTCGTCATCTTCAACCCTCTTCTTTGTTGCTGCAAAATAAAGAAAATTGTGTTAATGAACATACTCCCAGATGGTAAGTAAAAACAGTTGAAATAAAACAAAACACTTCTGAGTCATCCAGGCTTTGAGTCTTCAGATGGCCAAAAAAAGCATTACTTTGTGAGTATCACCAAGAGTCCCAGAGGCACAGAGCAATACTTTTATATTGCTCATCAATTACAAAAACTCCTCTGACTTACTTGTGCGATGACTGGGCCGTGTTGAAGGCAGTTTCATAGCTGGTGCACTGGGCAAATCACTGATGCTCTCCTCAAGTGCCTCATTTTCCAGTTCGGCCAACTCTGCCATGAGCTCATCCTAAAAACAAACAATTCAGAAAATATTTGAGCAAAAACCAAGGGAACAGATAATATTCAAAACTAGTGGTTCCCAAACTTTTACTATAGCACCCCCTTTTGTTCCCTCCCTAACACTCTATTACATAGGAATATGTCGAAAATTTCTTTTACACCTTTGAGCCACCTTTTGCTTTAAATAAACAACACAAAAAAGATGAGAGAGATAAATAATTTGTGAACCTCATCAAACATCTCTCCAGAAGGTCGAGAGATGGCATCGCTGATCTCTTTCGCCAAGTCCTGCTGCTCGTTGATGTCATCCATCAGATCATCGATTTTGCCAATGTCCCTGAAAAATGACCAGACAGATTTACAGTAGGAAAATAAAATAAAAAAAAATCAACGTGGCCCCAAATTCAAACCTCCAGAGGCATTTACCTATGAACATTATTCAGTTTTAGCAGCTAACACTAAAAGACAGTCTGTTTAACTGGAAGCAGATTTATTCAATTTAATTTTAATGTTTGACAGAGTATATCTGTCTGTTTTGTCATAACCTTTTAGACCAGAATTGTAAAATATATATAAAAAATTATTACCTTCAGATAACAGTCAGGTATCATGCATTGACTCCCAAAGTGAAGAGATTTTATCCCTTATAAAAATGACCTTTACTTTGACCTTTGCCAAAGGTTCTTACGTACGTGCTCTCGTGGATCCTCTTCATGGCCTTTGCAGCCAGACCCATGTTCTTCAGGACCTCTGTGTTGGTGTGCGAGTTCTCCAGGGCTTCTCTCTGGAACTCGATGGTAGACAGCGTCCCATCGATCTGGGTGAGCTGCTGCTCCAATCGCTTCTTCCTCTTCAGCGCCTGCAGGGCAACTGATAAGGAGAGACAGACTTTAGATCACGTTGATACTTTCACACCTTTGCTCTGGTTAAAACTCTCCTGTGTTCTTAGACACACAGGGTTCCACCCTCCATCGGATTATTTTTAGACCGGGGTGAATCAACAGCAAAGAACCACAGGGTTTGACATGTGAACACACAGGAAGGTGGGACACAATAACAGTGTGTTGTGTTTATGCTCCATTAAAATGATCTTATAAGTGAGTCTTTTCATTTGTCTGTGTTGGAAAACACCACGGAGCAGGTATTTCCATGACTGAATAATCAAACAAATGTGCATTTGATTCATACGGCTCATAAAATGAGGTAAACACCATAAAAAAGGCTTTAAATATCCCGTGTCCATCTGAGTTCCAAAGAGTCACAAAGAACACATTTAAATGGACAAAAATCATTTAAAAAATCAGTTAAAACATATCAAACAAAAAATATATAAAGTCTAACCAGTTTGAGACATTTTTTGTTGTTTTTGCAGCTCTTCTACTTAAAGTCAGTTGTTTGTGGATGAAACAAGACATTTACGCTCAAGTTTGGGAAACATACTAACGTTTTTGCAACAATTTTCTAGCGTTTCTGGAGCATACAGGTATAAAATAAATAATAACACAAACAGAATGTTTTAAATAATCATTCACTGCAGCTTCAAACGTCATGTAGGAGACTTTTACTGGTTGTTATGACAGAATTCAGGTCACGCAGCCAGGATCGGTTCAGCTGTTTTTCTGAATGGTTTTTTTTTGTGTTTTTTTTAATCTTACCTCTCTTGTTTTTGGTGCCGTGTTTCTTGGCTATCATTAGCTCCTGTTCTATCCTCTTCTCCAGGTAGTCCTGCTTCTTGGTCAACATTTCCTCCGTCTCTCGGAGTTTGTGGATGGCCTCCTGAGGACTCGGACCTCCTCGGTGCTGCTTGGATTTGGACTTGGACGAGCTCGAAGAACTTGAGCTGGAGCTGCCCTTGAACAATTTCGATATTTTGCTCATTTTCAAAGCTGTTTCTGTGCAACAACACTGTAGAAACAAGAGCTCAGACAACCACGGTGCTAAACTGAACTTTCCCCCGTCGACGGTGGACTGGTTCTTTCAGACGGGTGTGTTTGTAGCAGATCGGAATTTCCTGTTCGACGGCTTTATGGTTTCTATTCAAACCAGCCATTGAACGCACCACACCTTTCACCTGAGTGACGTAATGACACCTGACGCCCTTCAATTCCTGTTTCATCCTTGGACATCTGTACCCACGTGACCGGACTTATATAGTTAATTCAATAAATAAAAGCTATTTTTAAAATTACTATTATAGATTTGCATAGTATGCTGTGAAAATTCACGACGAGAACATGGGAAGGAAGATTGTATTTTATGATTTGAATATTATTATTTGTTGTAACGATTATTATTCTGTTTTTTAAATTTGTAAATGAGCATAAATGTATCATTAACAACATTATTTATCTTTTTAATTTTACACAATTCCAAGTTGACGGCGTAATTAATTTCATTTTCATTGTATTTTGCCAGTTTTATACATAAATACATAGAAAGTCTTTGTGTAATCACGTGACAATAGTTTCGGGGTCAAAGTTCGTGTTGACATCCTCAGCGTCGCGTCAAACAAATGGCGGAATTAGACGTCGGAAAACACTGCCAGGTGGACTCCTGTTTTCTAAAAGGTCTGTCCAAACCTCACATTAGTTATGATGACTAACTTTATAAAATGTGGCATTATTGTCTGTGTCGTTGTTGTAAAAACAGAGCAGCTAGACACACGGTTAGCCTAGCTAGGTGAGCTAACCGCTATCTGCACAGGATTTGAGAAGTAGTCAAGTGTTATTGCCGGTGCTCCTCGTGAAAAGTGTCAACCAATAATTCATTGAAAATCTCTCCTGACTTTTTAAAATTATTTAAATATGTGTGTTACGGAAATAATTCAAGACATAACGTGTAAAGTACAGTTAAAGTTGTTATGTTGTGGACCACAGCTATTAACTATCGGTTTATTTTCCCCTTTCGTCTTTTTCTTTGCCTGTACCATCGATACGTCCATCATTGTTCTCTGGGGTCTCTTCTTATTTCCATCTACGACCTGATGAATTAATTAATAAGGGTTGAAACCAGATTTTATTTTATTAAACGCCATGGAGGATATGAACGATACGTTTGTAAAAACAGTCTCAGTTAATGCAGTCATTCATTCATTCTTTTTTTTTTTTTTGTTTTTCTACAGATTTCCTTCCATTTATCTGCGATTCCTGCAGTGGTGTTTACTGGTAAGTTTTAATTTAAATTCTGAGCAACAGATGAGACATGGTGTCAAATATAATCCTGATAATACAGTAGGTTCACTTAATAATATAAGTCTGTGATGAATCGTATTAAATGTTTTCTTTCTTGCAGCCTCGAGCACAGAAGCAGGGAGTCCCACTCCTGTCCAGAGGTGAGCTGCACTATACGTGTTATGTTGTTGTTAAAAATGTTATGATTCTGTGACAAGAGTAGCATAAACTGTTCACATTCTTTAGATTAAAATTTCACATGCCGTTCCGTTCCTGTAGATGATCTAATCTGACCTTGCAGGAGTCGGCGACTGGAGAACAGAGTGAACCGCGGGCGGCTGGTGGTAGTTCCAGTTTTCCGTGCTCATTCACAGACTGCAGAGGAAAAGAGTTGCTGCCTGTCATATGTCCACAGTGTGAAAAACATTTCTGTTTAGCGTAAGTTTAGTTAATTCTTTCAATGTTTTCTATTGTAAGATGACATTTTTATTGTTTGCATGAATTGTAGTTCTCTTGCGTGATCCATGAATGCAATCATCGTTCATAACTTTCAGCCATCGTCATCAGGATGATCACAAGTGTGAAAAGTTGGAAGTTCAAAAGCCTCGAATGGCAGCTACAAAGGAGCTTGTGCAAAGGATTGTGGGTCAGCGTTTTACACATGGTATTGTAAATGTGCCAGACTTTATGCATATTTTGCTTAACATTTGTGTAATTTTAAAAAAAAATTCAGAATCAAAGGATGGGTCCAAAACTAAAGGACGTAAAGGGGCAAAGAACAGTGCAACTGCTGCCAAGGTAGCATTGATGAAACTGAAACTGCATGCTGCAGGAGACAAAGGACTTCCACAGGTAAACGTCATTCTCACATCGTTGTCTTCAGACGTCCTCGTCCTGTTACTGACTGATCTCCGGTTTTGGCCTTTCAGACAGAGAGAACCTATTTTCAGGTATATCTCCCCAAAGAATGTAAAGCCTCCAGCCAACCCATGTTCTTCTGTTCCAAATGGAGTGTAGGAAAAGTGGTGGATTACGCCGCATCTCTGGCTAGCCTAAAAAACAACAACAACATACTGACAGCCAAGGTAACACACAACACTTTGTTTCCTTTTTATGAAACAAACCTTTGGTGTTTTCTCATGACTTTTATCTGCTGATGGTTAGTTAATGTTTCAAAGTAATTTTTACTCCTAAACTGAGGTCATTCTTGGGTTTGCAGAAGCTGCGGTTGTGCCACCCTCAGTCTGGGGAGGCAGTGCCGATGGATGTCACCCTGGTCTCGCTGCTGTCTCACCCAGAAACTCCTCTGTACAACGGGGGTAACGTGATACTGGAATACCTGGACAACGAGTGCACAGGCCTAGAAGATGTGTCAGATTATATCACTCCGACATAACAAACTCAACAGTTCTGCAGATAATGGTCTGGTTTTTTATCAATAAAAGATTTTAATTTTAAAACCCTGGGCTGTGGTGGTGCATTCTCATGTACTAATACAAATATAAACCAAATGATTAGTGGAATAGATTCTGTTAATACTCAC